AAGTTAAGTGGCAGGGCCTCAGACAACATCTGCGACCAAGCAGGTGCACTTTGTGCTCCACTGAAGAATGTCCCATTTTTCATAGTTGGATACTGCTGGGGAACCTCATTAGAAACCAAATTACTACCTGCATCAGGTTTACACTAATGTATTGACATCTACAGCGCTTGTTAAATGAACCGTAAATCCAATACACTAAAGTCATTTTCAACTGAATCAAATCAGGTTTCAGTCAAAAGAATTACAATTGTTATATACTTAATGCTTGGCACTTTCATGGTGTCTCCAGCTAGATCATTTCAGACACAGAGAGAAAATTGTAAACCTATGAAACAGTGCAAGCTAAATTGGACACACTACAAGCATACTAAACACAGTGCTAGGAGTTTAAAGATGATAATTGGCTCTAATTGACTAGTTGGTAAAGCTATCCAGGCATCCACAGGCGTGCTCCTTATTAATCTGTTTTCAACATGCTATTTCCTTCTCCATAGTTAATTTATACTTTCTTATTATAAAACCACATTGTTTGCATTTCGTAGAATCTTTGCTTTTTAAATCTTTAACTCTTTGTCCCTCAGAAGGATTGGCTTTGTAGGAGGCATGCAAGACATACAGCTGCAAGACAAGGGAGAAGGCAGAGCAGCATCACTGCATACAGCCATCCTCAGACCTATATTATATCATGTAATTCTCTGATTCCTCAGACTGCTTCAGTCTCAGCAAGAGACGAGATGCTGTCCTGGAGTTGGTAAGCCAATTCACTCACATTTTCTATTCCCCTCACAGCCATAATTGATCATTTTTTAATGCTTATCTAGAAAACCTTGAGCCATGTGGGAGTGAGGACAGCATGAACCCCCCATATCCTTTTTGCTCAGTGTAGAGGAGCACCTGGTTGTGCCCATACACACTGCACAAATGAGGATGCCAGAAGAGGACAAAACCAATTTCTGTGAGGTAAGCTGGAGGAATGGGACAGCTTGGATAAACATAGATGTTTAAAAGATCTGATTGCAACTCAGTACATCTATGAAAATGAACTAGCAGATTTATCCAGATAGATTTTTCTTCAGTCTCATGCAGACTCTCTCCTAAAAGGTCTTATATCGGCTTAATTCGTAATTCAAAGACAGTGAGGCAAGATGAAAATTAAAATCAAAAATATACATAAGCCAACTCCTCAATCAGCATAAATCCATCCTTGTACCAGTGAGTTACACAGATACATTGCATTTGAAGAACCAGTTCCCAATCAAGAGTTTAGAGATTAAATTCATTTACCATGCCAGACTCTGAACAACCTTCTCTGGCCTTTTGCTTACTAAATCCCAAGCAGATCATCTGTGCTCACATTCATCTTCCCCTTTGCATTCTTCAGCAAAGAGGTGCTCCTTGGAAGAGGTAGCCATGCGAAGGAATAAAAAGCTACATTACATTTATCGAGCCTAGAAGCAGTTCTGCCAGAAACTAACTGGTGGCTTTCTATTATGTGAAGAAAATATCCATAGAAAGGGTGGAAACTACTTATTTCCACTCACGTGGAGAGTTGTATTGGCTGGAAAGCTGAGGCTGCCCAACTAAACAGTCGTCTCTGGCCGTTTCCATCCCTGTTTACCATTTTCCACATAGTCTGTGCTGCTTTTTGGCAGTCCACTATGCTGTTCCCCAGGGACTATGACAGAAAGTCACCCTGCCAATGTACTGAAGGACATTTTTTCAACACGCTGCTGCTCATCTGACACATTTAAAGAGCTGACAGTGAAAGAGCGGATCGTTCACTCGGTGCATCCCACTCCCCTGCTGTTGTTCCAGTACCAGACCTGCTCCTGAAGTGGGGCTCCTGAACCTCCCAGGTCAGCCAGCATCAGGGTAGTTGACCTGTCCTCTGAATAGATCTAACCAGCACAGGGGCAGGTCTGCCACTATAAGAAACCAATACAGATCTGCTGAAGTCAGTGGGCTGCTGCTTCTTTGGTATGCTTTCTATTGAGTGCAGGGCCAGCAACTCATGGAAAAACATGGAAAATGCTGATGAATTCAGGTAAACCAGAGACTCAATCAGAATGAAGATGGTTAGAGTGGAAGGTCACACTTGGAACAGTTTTGATTTTAACTTTCTTACCTTTATTTCCCAAACACTTTTTTACCCCACTTGGTTTTCCAGCATGTTGTTAGTTGTCTCTCCCCTCTGAACAAACACATCACAGATACAAGTTACACACATGTTGTTTCCCTGGACTGCCCACAGTTTGCAGCAGCATCCATCAGGAGGTGGATCACAACAATGTGCTGCTGGGCATGCAGGATCAACTCTCTGCAGCCATCTTTTCACAGAGGTGTCTGGGCAGGCTGTGCTCTTCCTGCTGACAAAGAGGTTATTAGTTCACACAGCCACTCTTCCACTTTTTCTACTGTGTGGGTTGTTTTTTTTTCCTCTAGTAAGAGTAGTTACTGCTTTACCAGCTGTAGGGTTGCTTGGCACCCTACAGAGCCAGCTACAGCAGGGTACATACACTGGATGCTTAATAGACAAGTGTTAGTGGGATAACCAGGAGAATTAGGAACTGGAGATCTGTTACTAAATACATAAACTGCTATAGCACAAGAAAGAATCAAGCCTGACACTTCATTGTAGCTGAGTCTATAACACATACATCATCTGTGAACCCAGACATGGCACACGCATTCTCCAGAGGATTAGGGGACCATAGGACTACATCGGGCTACACTTTACAGATGACAAAAAAGCAGCAGGGCAAGTGGAGAACAGAGTTCAAGGAAAGGCTGGTCCATTTGGAAAGGGGAAAGAGCTTCAAACTACATACCGATGAAAGGGCAACAGCAAGAAATTGAGGTTAGCTCTCAGCCAGCTGCAAAAGCTCAGGAACAGTCCAGGAGTGTCTACAGGAGACTTTAAAAACTAGTTGCAGATCCAAATATCAAAGAACCAAGTTGTAAAGGAAACATGAAATCCTAACACAGTAACTGAACAGAAAGGTTGTTTACAGATCTCTTCAAATATAACACCACAAACAAGACAGCAGGTTAATGGCGTCCTGGAAGAGACAATAGATTTGTTGCAACACAACACCCGTGCCCAAATGCAGAGCAAGCCAACTAGCAAATCCAGCCAGAGCCAGCACATCGAGGCCCATAATCAGTACAGTAGATCAAAATACCTTCTTCAAACATCTCTGATGGAGGCTTCTGCCTGTTGAATTAGCTGCTGTGCTTCAATTTATTACTTTTGATGACTGTATTTTGTCTTCATCCAAACTAATTATGCCTAAATCAATGGCAATAGTAGATTTGGCATTGATCATCCCTGTAGATGCTCTCAGCTTAAATTATGTTTTTGCATAGGGATAATTCCCTTGAAATCTCCTGCCAGAGCATTGACACCTGAGTATTTATTTAACTAATTATTTTTATGCAGATGTCATCACGGGCATTTGATATAAACTGCAGGAATTCAAACACCTTCTCTATCCTATATTGCCCAGAGACATCACGAGATGAATTCCCTTAGCAGTGAGCTTCTGTCCAATGCTCTACTCAGAAATGTGGCCGTGTTCACAAGACAAGGTTCCTCAGCCACAGACTGTGCCAGGCAAGGTGTCCACGCAGAACATGGTGGAGTCTTAGCAGTATGGGACCAAATCTACTGATGCAATAAACTGTGTCTACGTTGACTGCAGTGCCAACAATTCAAAACAGCTGAAAACTGTCAGCATTTCTGGTGATATAAAGACTTCTGTATTGCAGTTGCCTCTCTAATTACCTGTCTACTCATGTCTTCCCTTGCTCAAAAAGGAACAGCAGATTCTGAAAGAGAAGCAAAGCCCCCAGTGATCAGGATGACAGTGGGTCCATCTGCAGGTCCAGTCTACCAGAAACTAAACAATATGAAAGGTGCATGGCACTTATGGGCATAACTTTTCTGTCTGCTCCACCTTTAAATTAAAAAAAAAAAAAGAGAGAGAGAGAGAGAAGCCTGCCTGTATGAATGGAAAGGTTCCTGCATTGTCAGAGAGAAGTACCATTGGCTGCCTTCTTACTGATATCACTCAGAATTACTGAGTAAGAATTACTCAGATCAAAAGTATTGATTGACTTTACCTACAGAAAAGCATAACCAAATAGATAAAACAAATTCTGACATTTGAAACTCAATGTAAAAATTCTCATAGTCCTTCTACATTTGAAATTTGTGTTGGCTTGTAAAACCAGCAGGATTAGTTTCACTGACAGATTAATTTACTTTTTGATATGGACAAAGTACTCCGCAGAATGAACACAAATGCTCCGCAGGCTCCAAAGGATTGCAGCAGCACATTTCACCTCCAGGTCAATGGTTCAAACTCAGTCTGGGGGTAGGGACTGAAAAATGTTTAACATCTAATGGTTGCTCAATGGTCCATGAGAAATTAGTTTTGTGGTTGTACCTTTACTCCAAGTAACACTTGGGAGCATCCTAGCAGTGAACCCTCATGCTTCCCAAGAGGATCTTTACTGTAAAGGCAAGTCCACCCTTGAGCTGGCTGTGATACAGTTGTTCAGGATCAAAATAGGGGTTCACAGCATCAGGGCTTATCAGCAGAATTCAATTTAAGTGAACATCCAAGACGGAATTAATAACCAAACAGCTCCTGTTAGAAACAAGATCTAATTTGGTGGTGAATCAGCTATTCCCCTCTGAAAGTTTCTTATTCCCACTCCCACCCCCTCTTGCAGATAGTTGAGTTTCTTAGAAGTAATTAGTAGGCCTGAAGCCTGAGAGACTGTTGGCAGTTTTGGAGCACTTCCAGAGGCACCAGACAAAGCACAATGCACCTGGAAAGGTCAGCAGATGGAAATGAGCAATAAGCCCGTTTTCCTTTATGTAGTCCCACACCACCAGTAATACTGCCCAGAGGCCTCATTCTGTACCTGATCTATGAATACTGAGTCACTTTTATCCCAGTGAGATAACACACTTACTGTTTTTTAAAGGCAGAAGGCTACTGGAGATTTTTGAAATTGGAAAACTCATTTTAAGGCCAGAGCTTGAGACGCTTTGCCTTACTGAGAGAACACCTGTTCCCACAAAGGCTGCTCTGAGGACCTTGGCAAAAATCACTGCACCGATAAAAGCTTCACAGCCAGGCAAGGAGAACAGCTGTGCTGAATGCAGTGCTCTGCAGAGAAGCTGCATGATCCCACCTTCAGAACTTCCCACACCTGGGCTGCAGACACCCCTGTTCCTCAGGGGAACCAAGAGATGCTTTGAGGCTTTTCTGATTTTCTTCTCCTGCAAAGGGAATGTTTTCAGGGGAGCTCCAGCCATACTTCTTCCCCTCCTCTATGCACACTACATGGGAGAGAAGAAGAGAAGTTGTGCTGTACCTCACTTGCAGTAAGTAGAAGAAACAAAATCTGAACTTGCATGTTTGCCAGATCTTGCCCTAATAGAAAAAAACAGCAGATGGGTAAAAAGGTTCTTGCCCCAGGTACCCATCTGTAACAATTTATAGCACCTGATTTGGGGGCATTAACCTGTGCATGCAAAATGTGTCCATTCTTATTATTCACTGTAAACATGTCATAAGCATGGAAATATGCCCAGCAAGGCTACTGGTGCAGGTACTGAAATAGAAAACAGCCCATTAAATAGAAGCAGTAAATACTCCAAAATGCAGTAGATCTTGTTCAGTTATATAGCACCAGACAGGCATTAAACCTGGAAAACACTTGGCTCCATCTAAATCCTCTCCTTGCCATCCAACCTAACTCTGCACTGCAAGAAATTGAGGGGAACACCAGCCAGGTAAAATCCACACAAGGGCTGCAAATACATTAGCACTTCAGTAACTGCTGGCTTCGAGAGCAAACACCTATTGCCATAAGAAACAAGCTCCACTAAAAGGTAAGAGAGGTGCAACACAGACAGGGGTTACTCTGCCAGGCCTCCTTGTCCAGAGCACAGACACATCCTGTGCAGGCCAGGGAGCAGAAACACTAAGCAGAATTCTCTACTGATGATAGGTGGTGGTTTTGTGCTGGAACACAGGACTGTGCAAGAGGCAGAAAGGAAACCATCCAACAAGATAATGGGAAAGGAGGGAGATAGTCCAGCTCATACAGAAGTATCAGATGATCCTGAGCAAATAGACAGACTTTTTTTATTTTTTCTATTTGTTTCTCTGCACTATTCTGGCCTGACTTAAGCACATGGGGGTTTTCTTTGTCAGGCTGAGATGTATATCAAACCTGCCACGTGGAACTGAAGTAAGCTTTTCATTTCAGGGCTCCCCATATGATACAAATACCTTCTCTAAGGATCTGGTATGAAGTTCATAGGCAGATGTTAGCTAAGAGGAAGGCCCAAACACATAATGCAGCTTCCTCTGGGTAACCTGGCCTCTGGACCAGCACAGACATGGGGACAGGACAGGCACAAGTGTCTTCCCAGCACCGAATGGCCCAGACATGCTACCTGACCTGCCTACTGCAGGATGAATCCTGGCCGTGCCTCATGGTACCTCGTGCTGTTGTCAGCCCCAGAACCCAGACACTTTTCTCTACCAAAGACCACAAAACCTCATTTACTCCCCTGATTGCATTAGCCACTATGAAACAAAAGTAATTTTTAATAAAGTGTGCCATGGCAGAGAAAAATTGATACAATCACAGAGCCGGGATAATAGGATTTAATTCTGCTTCAGATGTGCTAGTTTTAATAAAAAAGGATTGAGCAAATCTAAAATAAATTACAGTGAAAGGTCAGGCTTATTGCTTGTACAGTTATGTTAACTCTTCCACAGACACTTTTACAGACTGTATTTATGAGACCTTTTGATTTTCAGAAGAGGTATAAAGTACATCTGCAATTTTCCCATTATTTGCGGCAATGTTTCTTCTACAAGTGTCATTTCCCAGTGCTTCCATACAGATTTCTTTAACCGACATTTATAAGAAATGATGAGTTATTTATGGGGTGTTTTTGTCGAATTAGTGAAACTAATCCCCACTGGAAAGTTAAACCCAACCAGAAAAAAAAAATGTTAAGGGAACGATGATTCCCATTTGTGTGCCAGCGATGCTCGTGATTTCTTATTCATTAATCATTCCACTGTCATGACATTTATTCAATAGGAAACTAATCAATTACTTGTTTTTATACGCAGCGGCACGCATACTGCAGGCACAGCCAGGGACTGACAAGCTCTCCAGCCAGCTGAACTACACCCATCCAGCCCCACTGAGCTGCTTGCCTTTGCCCTGGCTTCACGAGTCTACCATGTGCACATGGGTGTTCTTGCATGCTTCTCTGTGTTTTTACACACCTTACATATGGAAGAGGAACCACCTGTTTTACGTCAGACTTGAGATGATGCCAAGACACAACTGGCTCTGCAGTTGCTACCAGGGAAATCCTGCTGATTTTGATCAAAGGAGATATTGGAAAGCAAAGAAAATCTCATCCACTTGTTGGTATATGTCTGTAGCCATGCTTTCAGGGAACCTAAATACAAACCCATCAGCTGTGAGAACAGACAAAGTAAGCTGGGGCGTGTCATCAAATGTTAAAGTAAAATTAAATCTCAGTTTCTCTGCGAGTTCTGCTCAAGAGCCCAGCATCAGCTAAAAGCAGCTCCAGCAGCACAAGGCTGCACACAAACATGGCCAGCAGCCACAGGGCAACAAGGACCTGCCACAGGACCAAGGATGGTGCTTGTGAAGCCCCTTGACAACTTTTGCTTAATTTCATCAACATTTCTGCTTTAAACAAACAAAAAAAATCTGCTTTAGACAGAAAAAAAAAATAAAAATGGAGGTACAATGGTACCAAGAGCACAAACTTGTGTTCAACAAGTAGAAATGATGGACAGGATGTGTGCATTTAGAGGAGCAGTGCCTGAAATAGAGAGGAATTGATTAGCTTTTGAATCTCTCTCTGAAAAAACAGTCAAGGAACACCAGACCAGATCCTGAACTATGGCAGGAGACACAGCACAGAAGGAGCAAAAGACAGTCCCAGTCACAAAATAATAGAGCCAAGGAGATGAAAGAGGTCAAGCAGGAACAAAAGACATCTAGAAGAAGCCAACAGCACTTGTAAGATCATTGGGACAGAACATGAAACGGATCTCAGTGAACAAGTAAATATCAGCTGTCAAAAAAAAATCACAAAAACAAAGTTGTTTGGTCTTTTTGATGATTATTAGATGACTAGTAAACTGAAACAGGATGTTGTCTTCATTTTTCTATCTGGAAAAATATAGCAACTCTCAGAGATACCCTCCTCGACTTCACTTCAGCAGGTGAAACATCTACTAAGTTCAATATTTTGATAGATCTGTTCACATATACTTTTCCTTCTGATGCCACTGACTCTTTGACAAGATATCCGTATCCATTTCTAGCTAGATAAGATACAGACATAAACTACAGCCTTTGCACAGGACCTACTATTTATAACCTGCAGTGACTTCAGAGGATTCACATCAATCACAGCAGATCTCCAGCAGGAATGTGGTCCCCATCTGACAAAACTGACTGTCTTATTTTGTCTTTTATTTTAATAGGTTTCCTGCCAGCTGGATTTTGCCTCCATTTGATCAAGGGTACTAAGTCTTCAATCAACTCTTCTTGTTTTTTTTTGCTCTATTTTTGAGAGCATTGACCTAAATCCATAAAAGGCAGTAAAAACAATATTGTTATTTCACGACTTATTACTGAAGCTAATTCCCAGAGAGAACAGTAATTGCTATAACAACCCTCAAAAGGTGGTCTCAAAGCTCTTTAAATCAGAAATAAATTGTGTACATAGGCAAGCTAGCAATGCTGCTGATCTTGTGTTCTAAGCACCTTCCTTTTCTGAGAAACAACATAAAAAAGCAGGTACGTAATCCACCAGCAGCCTTAGCAAAGCTGTATTTCCTCCAACTCATCCTGCTGGAGTAAGTGCAAGGAAGACTCTCCTTCACTCTGCTGCACCCCAGCACATCAGGCAGGCTCTGAATGCCAGGTGTTTGGGGTTGCTTCATCTGGTCTAGTCCAGAAACATCTAGGAGCAAGGAAGAAGTGTGATCAATGATGAAAAGTCTTGGAATAACTTAGAGTGCAGTCATTTAATTCCAATCCAAAGGAAAAATATTATTTTCCCAATTGCTGTTTTAGCAGCAGATGTTATTAACTCTGTGTTACTTTAATTTCCTCTGCCAATGAAGCCTTCCTGACCACATGCAGACAGCCTACATTCAACACTGCATCAAGCCCTTTGTGCAGGAAAGGTGCAGGTTTCTGACGAGTGATGCCCTCAGCCCATGTACAGGATTCAAAAAGCAAATACAATGAGTAAGATAGAGATAAATATGAAGGAAACCAAGTGGGCTCCAGCCAACCAAACATCCTTTTCAAAAGGAGTTCTGTATCTCAAAATAGCAATACCAAACATACAATTCACTGAGACACTTTTTCCACCTGCTATGATTCAGTAGAGCTTAGGGATATGGTTTAGTGGGGACTGTTAGTGTTAGGTCAGAGGTTGGACTCGATGATCATGAGGTCTCTTCCAACCTAGAAACTCTGTGATTCTGTGTGTGAATAACATCATTGTTCTCCTGTTTTTAGTGAATTACTGCCCATAATCCTTGCTTTCTGCCTCTGTACCCAAGATTGCTCTGGGGAGTCCTTGTTAGACATATTTAGTCCATAACAGACATATTTTGGTCATTAGACAGATGACCAAAGTAGAATCAGGATTGTTAAACACAGTGACTGCGGCAATCTGTCAATACAGAGAGACCATTAGGAAAATAAAAATAGTAAGTTAACAATGCAGAGAACGCTATATATCTTACAGCAGTCCAACAACTGCTGCCTGTGTTCTACCTCCTGCCAGGGATTCGGTCTCTTTATAAAATCATTGTGCCTGCCTTGCCAATTCAAATCACCTTTATTGCTGAAAAGAAACACTGAGCATCAGAAAGGAACAAGATTTGCCACAGCATACAGAACCTGATGCTTTTAATAGCAGAAAAAAATAAAAATGATTATGGAACTATGTTCTGTTTTTCAGTTGTTTTTGGCTGATTTCTCACTCATCCAGAGCTGCTGCTTGTAAGGATCCCTGGCAAGAAATTGTGATGCTCATCTGATGGCACAATGAGTCTCATTCCCTCTGCCTGGTAGGGGCTCCAGGTGATGGTAAGGATACCCCCAAATATCTGATAGGCTGTTCTCCAGCACCATTGGCATGAAGTTATCTGCACTTCAGGGTGAGGTGGGTGGCATACCTTAAACAGCCTCCACCACTACTTTGTGCTCAAACACTGGGCCAGGCTTCCTGGCAAGGTGGTTGATGCCCCAGGCCTGGCAGTGTTCAGGAGGTAGTTGGATAATGCTCTTAATGAAAGGCTTTAACTTCTGGTTAGCCCTGAGGTGGTCAGGCAGCTGGACTTGATCTTGCTAGGTCCCTTCCACATGAACTATTCTAATTCTAACTTCTTCCAGTCACAGCTGCAGCATTTTATGGAATTGCAGGCATAGTCATCTTCGACCATTATCAATCAGGCCAAGGCATGCCGGTTTGTAAGGCAAGAGCCTGAGCTTGGCCCCATGCTGCTGAATCAGCACAGCATGGCCATGGCTCTACCAGCACCTGCAGTTGAGCACATGAACACAAAAAGCATAAAACCATGCATAAAAGCATTGCACTCGGGATGACTTCCCACTTTTCAGCCCGTCCCACCAAGGACAGGATAGGGACTAGGACCTGTGTTCAGACAGCAAACCCTTACACGACAGTACTCTAAATACACTGCTAAAACCTAAATACACTCCTAAAGCAGGACGCTTGTCAGTGTTTCAACAAAATCCTATTAGCATCCAAGAAATAAGTGGCCTAACATCGTTTTAGTGTTTCTGAATCTGCCTCAGGTTCACTACAAAGCAACTTGCAGCTCGATAAACTTTGACATGTTCTCATGTTATAAAAACAAAGTCAAAAACTTATTTATTCACTTTTTACCTCATAAGTCCCAAATCAATAATTGCACCTATTGATCAACAACATAAATTCAAAACATTAATTTACACCGAGTACCGTAACCTAATAAGAATGCAACAACTGTATTTGTGAAATTGATTTTCCTTTTGTTACTAGCAGAAAATCTTCGGGCCCGTACAATAATCAGATACAGCACACAGAGGAGTTAATTAGCACTGAATACCACAAAAAGCAAAAATTAAATTTCTTTTTAAGTACGGAAAGGAAATGTTGAGTCTCCAGGGCAGATGTTTAAACAAAAGAAATTTCTTGTACCTCTTCTACATGCGCATTCAAGAAATGTGAATCACAGAAAGGTGAATTTCAGAGCCTGCTAAAATCACTTTGTAACATAAACAAGTGAAATGATTTCAGAGGTACAGACCCACAGAAGCTGTAAAGTAATGCTGAAACATTATTTCAGAAGGGCAGCATTTTTGTTTGTTTGTTTGTTTTGGTTTTGTTTTGTTTTGATTATTTATTTTATTTTATTTTTAATTCCAGCAACAGTTTTAACAGTAAGTCACTGAAGCACAATCCAAAGCGATGCCATGATGTTTATACTGTTTTTTGGCACAGAGGCTCCTACCTTCAAGCATCAATCGAACACAAGAGCTCAGTCCTTGCAGGCTGACTCCGAGCTGCTCATGGTATTGTTCTGAGCACTGCATCCATGGAACTGACAACTGAAACTTTGGCAGAGACCTTTTTAAGCTAAACTTCTACAGTCTTGGGCAGGAAGGGCTATCCAAGCTCTCCCTCATGTGACCCCTATCCATTCATCCAAGCACTTTGCAGGTACTTTTGGCAAGGAGTGGCAAAATGGGAGGAGACGGCTGGACTACAGCCTTACTGAGACAGAAATCCAGGCAGGAGCATCTCAGCACAGCCATGGCACCAGCCTCACCCATGAGGGAACAGAGCAGCTCCATCCTCACGGTTCCTCCGTTCAGCTCCACCAACAACACCTGGGGTCTGAACAAGAAAAGCAGAACAGAGAAGTATAACACTGTTTGTGCAAACTACACTGTCCTGAAACCAAACACACTGCTCCAGCGCCTTCAGAGGCAACTCCATTCACTCAGCAGCAAATTACAGTGGCTTTCCTTTAAATTCCAGTTCATTACCAATAAAAATAGATAGATTCAGCCATCAATCTCCAGATGATTGCACACAGTTTCCCCAACACAGCTCTTGCCCTAGCTTGGCGCAGGCATTTGTTTTGAAGCTCCACCCTCAGTGTTTCAAACGCTAGCAGAGGAGCCTGCTGCGGGAGCAGCCTTTGCATGATAACCCGGAGTCGTGCCAAGACACCCAATCTGTTCATTTGGACAGGTTTCCAAGGAGCCTCCTCATGAAAATATCCATGATGTCAACTGGCCCAGCGGGATTTGAAATAAGGCCTGGATGCAGAAGCTTCCTCTCAACCAAGAGCTGCATTTATCTTAAGGGCATCTCACACACTTGTGTGACTGTTGGTTACAGGGTTACAGCCCACCCCACTGCCCAAAAACAAAGTTCCAATGTTTAAAACAAGTCACAGTTTGGCTGCCCAAAACCAGGGTCTGGAGAGAGAACAGACTCCAAAGCAGCTCTGAGATGGGTCTGTAGCACCCAGAGATACTCAAACCAGGCAGCTACAGGGCACAGGAGAAGATCAGAGAGGCAATGACCTCCCTTGTGATGGGGCACAAGGTATCCAGTGAAAACACTAATGCATAGAGTTAAAATCCTATGGATGCACTGGGGATTTCCAAACTCCAGGAGCAGGTACAAGTGTCACCCCAAGATGGAGGGGACAGTCACCAGCTCAGAGGTCTTCTCCTGTCACCCAGAGCAGAAACCAGGCAAGCACAAAACACATCAGGTTAAGTTTTATAGAAAGGCGATGACTGAAGCTGTGGGTTGATGGTGCACAGTACATGGGTGAAACACATGCAGCTAAAGCAGCCTTTTAAGTCCAAAACACCCATAAAACACGTATATTTAAATATATATAAATATATATAATAAAATATATAGATATATATAATAGATAAATATATAGGAAAAAATTAACTGTTCAGTAGCACAACTCAAATTATGTACCGAATCAGGGCTCCAGGTTGACCCCTGATTAGTACATTTACCAACACATTGAGTTAGACCCCCAAGTTGTTGAGCAGTATTTAAATACTCATTTAAATACTCAACTAGGAAAACATTGGTCTACAAAAGGTGTATCGACCTCTAATGAGCAGCTGTTTGGTTTTTGGTTTTGGTTTTGTGTGTGTGTGTGGTGTTGGTTTTGTTTTGTTTTTTTCCCAGAAGAAGACAAGAGCACTTCACTCACAATTTCTATTCAGATATTTTGACTAACTAAAAGACTCCGTATCAGCAAAGAGCTGAAAAACAGCTATTTTTCTCTGATCTTATTGTGCCTACTGCCACATAAGAAGTTCATTTTAAAAAGCAGTAGTCAATGAACAGGTATTTCAGGAAAAAAAAAAAAAAAAAAAAAAAAAAAGAAAAAAAAGAGCAATTAGCAAGTTCAAGTTCTATCCGTATGTTTATAAAGGATACAGCTAGTGACACATAATAAATATGAAAAGGACGTTTATGGTTTACCAATACAGTTGCTTACTATATTGCTGACTTTACTATAAGATGATAGAGTTTTATAACCCATTCCTCAAGCCAAATGAGGATTAAATTTTTGTGACAGGAAATTTTTTCAAGAACCTTGAACTGTAATCAAGCTGGTACCTGAACAAACCAATATATTTATTTGGAAACAGGCACTGACCACTTACACCATGGGTATACCCTTGGAATTTTGTAAAAGCTCCATGAAATTCAGAAGCCACAAGAGCGCAACAGTTTGCATGATTGTGTAAAATCTCAATTGCAGTTTTATTAGTTGAAGGACTATGGTGCCTAGGATTACTGCCATAATTTCAAATACTCAGCAGTCAAGCCTTTTTTATTTTCCTAAGTAGAAATCACAAAATAAAAGGCAAAACCAAACCCACCAACCCCATCCCACCCCAAACCACCAAAGAGATAAGAACCTACGTAACTGGAATTTCAGGCCATGTTGAAAAAACATGAAAGCAAAACTTCTAAGGAAAGAGGTAAGAGATTTACTAGACTTCCAACCTTTACCACAAAGCAGTCTCACAAGGAAGGCCCACCTTTAAGCTGGAGAAAGACAACATGTAATTAATGCTAGTTACCAACATTCTGAGCAGATTTTAAGACTTTGTGGCCTTCAGCAGCATCCCACTAATTAACGGAGAAGATAAATGAAGGTGACTTTTCATGCTGCTTCCTATATGCAAGAAATTGCCCTGTAGAAGCCAGAAGGTCTGTTCTCTGTAGGAGTGTCTGTAGTCTGACCTCCCCAGCCCCTCAATGCCTACAGCATGAATGACTTATGCCACCACCACCAGATGCCTCTGCACTTCTGGCACTTTCCAAGCTAGCAGCAAGAGTTGCCCCTTGCCACAAGCCTCAGTTCCACCATGCTGTTTTCCAGGTAATTTATTTGCAGTAGTGGATGTAAAGTCCCCCAAGAAAGATATAACCTGAGAGCAATGCTCTGCAGTTAGCTGGCTAAGTGAACGAATGCACTCCAAGCAAGACATCGAGTTTCTCTGGCTCCCCTGCTTAAGTGGGGCTTCTCCTGTAGGCATTCCCTGTGCCCAAACCCAAGTGTTGCATAATTCCTGTACAAGCACAGGTCACAAAACAACTGTATTAGTGAAGTGTGACATGTGGTTGACAGTCAGCTGAATATGAGCCAGCAATGTGCTCAGGTGGCCAAGAAGGCCAACAGCATCCTGGCTTGCATAAGAAGCAGTGTGACCAGCAGGGCTAGGGAAGGTGATCGTCCCCCTGTACTCGGCTCTGGTGAGGCCGCACCTCGAGTACTGTGTTCAGTTTTGGGCCCCTCGCTACAAGAAGGACATGGAGGTGCTCGAGCAAGTCCAGAGAAGGGCAATGAAGCTGGTGAGGGGCCTGGAGAACAAGGCTTACGAGGAACGGCTGAGGGAGCTGGGCTTGTTCAGTCTGGAGAAGGGGAGGCTCAGGGGCGACCTTATCGCTCTCTACAGATAAATTAAAGGAGGCTGTAGCGAGGTGGGGGTTGGTCTGTTCTCCCATGTGCCTGGTGACAGGATGAGGGGGAATGGGCTAAAGTTGCACCAGGGGAGGTTATTCTGCGTCTGGTAGACTTCAGCTCCAAACTATTGTATTTTAGTAACACACCACAGGTATGGGAAAAAAAACAGTAATATACTTTAATAAAGCATTAACATACATTGTATCATATCAAGAGACAACACAGGTAAGGCTGTCACAAAAATACAGGCACTACTAGTATTTTATTTAAGATCACAGGAGATGAGAAAGTTTGAAAGCAGATGAGGAACAGCCACACACACCCCTTATATTCAGCTACCATAGCCTGAAAGCTAAGAGAGGTACAAGAGCAATACAAACAAATCCAACTACTCTGAACAGTATCCAAGTCCGTGGGCCAATTTGTACCAGAAGTATAGTTACCAGAAGACATAAGGTTCATATCAGTTTTTATATGTACAACTTAAGAAACAAATGTAATTTTTAAAGAGTTCAGAAGTTAACTTTCAACAACACTATGTAGACTTGAAGGCAGTAAATCTTACTCCTATTAAGGCTATTTTGAAAGGATGGATATCATGCAAATGCAATTAAAACAATACGTTACATTTCAAAATATGCAAAAGTTCAATTTTAACTTTCAGAAAAAAATATATCAAACATTATAACTGTGATCCACCAAAGCATTTTACATACATGCTTGAAGCTAAGTACATGGACTAAACTGTCAGAGAGGGTAACGAATACCAAACTTGAGTATCTCAACCAGACCAGAAGTACAGTGATCAGTTCCTTCCAGCATCACCAGAAATGCCAATGCCTGCACCAAACATTTGTCATTCAGAGGCTGCTGCTGGCTGCAAAATTCAACGTGCTTTTTCAAGCTGTAAGGCCTGCCTAGCTTGTTGTTGGTTGTTTTTTAATAGCTCTGGCATTAATTTGTGATCACTGAATATACTTAACACCTCCAATGAACATGGGGAAGAGGTGTGCACAGAAAGAGCCTGTGGTATGACTGTAGACAGTACACAGCTGGAAGCACATAACAAGTTAGTTACATCAGGCATTCAGACAGATTCTCCTTAGCTCCCATACACTGTACCCCTTGCTTATGATCTCAAAGAGAAAAATGTTTTTAAACCATTACCAGCATTAGCACTAAATCCATAAAGCAAGGCCAATTAACAAGAAATAGAATCTTAGTTAATATTTTAGTATAGCGATGCTACTTGTTCAAATGGTATCTAAAGATGGCTTATGTTACCAGCAGGTAGGAAACTTCATTTTTTCTTTAGGTCATTATAATAACTTGAAATTAAGTACAATGAAGATGGCCAGCTGTGTAACTTTTATCACCACTCAAAAATAAAGTGTTGATAACTTGAAAATAAGTAAAGGAAACTTTACTTATTAACACTAGAACCGTTGTGACCTCTCCCAGGATGTTACGTGCACCATGAGAAGTGCTAGATTGCTGCACTACTTTCTTTCTTCAACCCCAATGCTATCATAATCAAATTGTAGTTGTGTACTCCAAAGGAGACAAGTTATTTTCAGTCCTTTTATATCATATTTCTTTAGCTACTATCAAATTGCCTGAAGGTTTGGACTTTTCAGAAGTTCCTCCTATGACATTACATTCAGTGCTTACAAGTTTCTTAGAAGCAGTACTCCTCATCTAAGAAAAATGTAGTTAAAAGTAAGAAGATTCCTTTATTTCAGTCCATCTAATTTTGAGTCACAGCAGCGTATCATTTGGATTCTGCTAGGCACATACTGTGTGGATATGTGCAACATGAAGAACGAAAACGGAAATGAAAGATCCATTTTACTTTAATCCTGACCAGCAGCTGTTAGCAATTTTCTTTAGTTATCACTGTGGGACATGATGGATGGGAAGACTCAATATGCTGAGGAACTAGTATATAGTATACAAGTGCTCTCAAGGACTGTGTTCAACAGCACATTTAGTTTAACTAGGAACTACAGACTGTAAGAGATAACAGATAGTTCCTGGGAGTATCTATCATTCTTCAGAGAAGGTGTCTGATCAAGAGGATAATATCTGGAAGAATGACTGCATGATCTTTTGCTACATGGCTAGCATACCATGTCACTGAGGAAGAAAAGTGAATATTAACTCAAGTGGTAATGAAAACCAAGAAATCTGCATAAAAGAACAAGTTGAGATATTACCATTTTAAGTTTACATACACTTTGCAAAGAATACAAAAAACAGATACACAAGAACATGCAAGTGAAACGAAGCTATTCTGCAATAAACAGGAAAACAGAATACACATTCTAATACTTAAGGCATTAAAAAGTTCACTTGATTATGCTAAAGAGTAGCAATGGAATAAGGTCTAGACCTAGCCAATGTAATTAAATAAAAATTCATTTGGCTCTTCCAGCCTTTATTTCCCTCCTCCTTTTTACATGTTTTTGTAACTTCAGATCATAAAGTTACCAAGTGACATAGGAGATGAGAAGTAATTGTAAATAAGGCATCTTCCTCTATTAGTAGCAATGCTCCAGAAATTTGTGATTATATAGATGTAGCTGCATAGCCATTTTTCAGACCATGATTAGACTAGATGTCCTTCTGCCAAGGATAAAAGAGGATGTCGACTACTCTGATACCAAAGATATTTGAAAAGACGTCCTTTTCCAAGTTCACCCTTTCCCACCTGGGGTGCATACTCGTTTAAAAGCATATTGACACCCATCACTAGCCCTCTGTCTGAAAGATGTGCCCCATCATTGTTATTAGGCATACCTCTCAACTCAGATGAATTTCAACAAATAAACAACCTTTTTTTAATCTACAAGCCTTAAAAATAAAAGCCCAGTACAAATAATTAATGACTTGGTCCCCAAACAAAAGCTATACACCAAAATAAAAAATCCAATTAGTAATCTTTCAAGATGCCAGGCCAAGCCATCACACTCATTTTGCACAAAACCTTAAATGCAGACTATCAAGGAAATCTAGAAATTACTCATCAACCTTATAGAGATTAATCCTAGAACACCTCAGAGCCATTCCAATAGATTTTAATTGACATGAAACAATGAGGACAGAAGTGTGTCCTAGAATTCATGAGAAGTTTTATGAAACTCAAGAATATTTTATGAAAGCCAATAGTTTTACAAAATTCAGAGAAAGGTAGCCAACACAAGCATGAAATACAAAGCAATTTTATCACCTCAAACCACTCAAGAAGGAAGCAAACGGTACTAGTAGAAATCTACAAGTCGTCTTCAAGGAAAGTACCATGTAAAGCACACTGCATTAATCTAGACTTGACATTATAAGGGCAAGCCTCGCTGTGGCAAGGTCCATACTAAACACCAGATCAGAGACAGAAGATTAAAGTAAAACATTAGATGTCACAGTCACTGTTCTACTGATCTGGGAAAGGCAGAGACTCCAAGGTGAACAGAAACTATGAACCTGCCATTCTCGCAAAGTCAAAAAAAAAAACACAGTACATCTAACACTTTCATCCCTTCATTAAAATAGAAATACTAAAAAGGAGCACTCCATAACATATCCCCATTGCTTCTGACTGACATTTGGAATCAAAGGTAAAAGCAGAAAGTTAGCAGAGATAATTAGAGCAACAGAGATCTTTTAGCACAAGGCAGCATATCTGAGCAGCCTACCAACCAGGAGATGATGAACTTTGTTTGCTACTTAAAAAAGAAGCTATTAGTCGACTACTTCAGTTCATTAGGCGTATAAAAAGTTTCATCTAGAGGTCATTCCAAAAAACACCTCGCCTTGTGTTTAAGCATATATTCAGCCCAACAGCAACCGGTGATAATAAGGAAAAAAAAATCTAAGTATCTGTTGGCTTTCCTTCTGGGTATTTCTGAGAAAAATGTCAATTTAATGCTGACAGCAAACAAGGATGTCAGTCTAATTAGATTTTTTGTTTTGGCATGCTCCTGATCCTATCTATATACTCTGAAGAAAATCTGATTGATGATGAAGGCACAATTATACAAACCTTAACATTCACTCTAGGTGTAGCTATGCAGAACAGGGTTGGGGGAGGGAGGGGGAGAGGGGGAACAAAGGTGAAGTACATTTCTCTTCAAATAATTTTAATTCAGTTTATTTTCCCACAGCCATATAAATTTAAAATATGAAACAACAATAATACAGCTATAGAATCTAGGTTTCCTTTCAAAGCAGCAGCATATAAAACATATAAAAGCTAAAACTTCAGCATAAGCTTAAAAAAACAAGGACTGAGTGAATTTTGCAGAAGACATGAAATTCACAAAATACAGTACACAAAAATACTGGAATGCATAAAATATAAAGCTACACATTCTAGGTAATGAAAGACATTGTAAATATACAAAATTTGCTAAGTTAAACCAAGGGATTTGTGAGCAAGTACCATGAATACAAAGAAGTTGGCAATTAATACTTGTAGATGAAGACAAGAAAGAGGCAGTTTTATATTTAGCATTCATTTTGCGAGTTCACGACTTCACTTTCTTAGCATCTTTTTTTCCGGAGTTCTCAGTAGCCAAATCTGCTTTTCTCTTCTGTGACTAAAAAGGAAAAGAAAAAAATAATTAATTCCAGCAAATGGTGGCATCATACCACAATGTTTTTAAGTACATTAACTATTTCAAAAGATAAGAAACATTAATACATTCTATTTTTCAATTCAGTTTTGTAGGAGTTAACAGAAGGGTAAACAAAAATCCCAGATTTAGACACTTAAGTCTGCTACCCTTTTTGCTTTCTTGATGTTCTGCATTACATGGTCTCAATGGTACAAGTACTATGCACATCATGAATGGGATGAGAAGATCAGGACTTTGATTTATTTAGAGTTTTGCTGTTGTAAAAGTGACAAATAATTAAGATAAAAGGAGCACTCCTTACTTCTTCCTCCAGAAACTAGCACGTAGTGGAGTAACAACAATTTTAGATTGAAGTCAACACATCACGTAAACATGTAGGCAGAAAGAAGAATAGCTATGTTTTCTTTAAAAGTGCCTTAGATACTTGCACTAAAGCCTCTTCTCAAAAAAAATAAGTAAGGACCCAAAATATTGTGAATTGGGAACAACTGCATAGAATCTAGGAGAGCTGCGAATAGACAGATATTTGTTTAATCTCTCAACTAATGGTTTATATTTAAACAGTTACTATTACCTTCTTTTTCGTTTCCTAACAAAAATATAATTGAATTCTACCCCCCGGAAATAAAGTGCTGCTCAACATACCGATGTGACTTTTGATCCTCTTTTCTTCTTTTCAGCTCGTTCTTTTTCCTCAATTTCCATATTCTCTTTTTCTATTAATGATATGAGAGTATTACAGCGTCTCTGAAACTCCTGAGGAAACAGAGAACAACAAATATTATATGCATCATACAAACTCTGTCATTTACAAAAAAAAAAAAACAAACTTGAATTCCAAAATACTCAGTTTTTCCAGAAGTGTTCAATACCCAGACTGGTAAGATGAACTTTGTTATTGCACATCCATCTTTATCTTAGTGCAACCTTTTCTATAAGGAGAGAAAGCTAAGATATTTACTGAAATAGTCAGCTTCCTGACAGTTTTCAGGACTGCCTATATCTTCCAAGCTGATGTTCCTAAAGACTGATGCAATCTTTTGTCATGTTTATGTGAAGCAAATAATATCCTGCTGCCAGCATACTATGCCAGATTTTAGAAAGAGGGGTCTTCAGGTACATATTTAAAGCAGGAAGAAATCAAAGCTATCTTCAGCAATATTTTGCGGTGGCACACAGACATTTTGTGATGAAGTAAGACACTTTAAGTTCTCAACTGGCAAAAATCTATCCAGTTTTAAGCCTTGAACACACTGTTGTATGTACCTTCAGTCAAAAAGCACCAAAAAGATAGGAGGCCTTAAATACTTTTAAGCATTAAAACTTCCAAGTCATCTGAAAATGTTCAAGATTAAATAACAAAAATGTCATTTATACATTAAAAAATATTTCCAGTACAATTGTCACAATACTTCCATTGTACTTAATAAGAGTTGGCTTGGTAGCAGAAATCATTTGATTCCTGTATCCCATCTCTTACCAAATATCGAATATGTACTTATTTCTATTATTATTATTGTTTTAAGTATGTTTAAAACAGCAATTCCATGGGCTTCTCTTTCTAGCACAAGGCAGGAAGGTTTCTTCTGATGAAAAAAGTTGGAAAAGAACATCTTATCTATTAAACTAAGTGAAAAAAAATGTGATCTATAAGCTACCCAAAAATTGCCTAGTAGCATAAAGCTCAACCTACAACTGGTCTATTCACCATGAAGTGAACAGGTGACCTTTTTGCCCAGGAGTCAGTCTCCATTTTCTTAGTATCTGTAACCTGTACACTGCCTCAGCCATCATGCATGCTTTCTTGATCCTGATCGTTCTTAAACAGACAAGCATATGACTCATTTTGGAGAAGTTCATGTCCTAAGACTAACTATTTTCCTTAAGTTCTCAAGGTGCCACAGATTCCTCTACAAATGGGGCTGCAAGGCCTTGGATGAAAGCTGCACAATCCAGAATGAACACAGAATCCTTCAACCTTTCTTATAAGCAAAGAGAAATATTCAGGAAATTTTTCTTTACAACTCCCTGCTGGAACGGTTCCAGTCCCATGCACGTAGTTTTACAGTCATTTCTGCCACATCCATGTAAAAGTAACCCCAAACCCCCCAACCACAACCATAAATATATTCTCATGTCAACCAATAAAACCCCTCAAATTTCATGCAAACAACAGCATTCAGATAAAAAGGCAACAAGTTTGAAAAAACTTGGGTGCAAGCCATCCCAAAATGTATTGCATCCCCAAACACAGAACAGAGATCTGTCCCAAAACACTTCACAAATCAATAGAGATGATTGAAAAGAGGCAGAAGCAGAAGAATGATTGCCAGTATGTCAGAAGCATTTTCCATCATTTGAATTTGTGCATGTTACACTCAAAGACAAAGGAGCTGTAGGCAGAGACTGATGACAATCTGGTCCACAAAAGCAAGCAGTTCAACCTTCCTGAGTGTAAGAGAAATTACTTGGTGTTAAATTCAAGACAAACAGTTATCAGAAATGTGCCAAGAAATAACCTCTGACATTTGCCTACAGCACTGAGAAAAGTTCTCGTATTTAAAAGGAAAAAAACCACTTGCATAGATGCATATGTTTACTATAATCAAGTGTTCAGGTTGACATTTAGTCTTTCCAGACTGCTACTCCAGAACATGCAGAGGATGGACTCAAAAACAACTTTCTCAGGAGAATCACAGAAGCAGTTGACAGTAGCATGTAGTATGCACACAGGTTTCTGCTTCACCTACTGTTACAAAGAGAATCTGCATTATAAATTCTGCCCTGAACTCCTGAAATTTCTGTATGGACTGATCCATCTCATTTCAGTACTATAAAAACACACTTCAAGTTTAAAATGCCCTGCACCTTTAGAGTTGCAATTTCATTCAGTATGGCTGATACTTTTCTCCTTAGGATTGAAAGAGATGAGATGTACTTTGCTCTCCACTTCATAGTTATAAAGACTAGTATTGCAATAAATAAGATGGGAGCACTGAACCATCACCTTCTGCATGACCGAAGGCATAGATGGTGGCTTGATAGAGAAAGTAGAAGTCTGAAGCTCTGTCAACAGGCCTGTACATTCCTGTATTTACATAATCGTTTCTTACACTGGCTAGGGTTACAGAAAGGTAAAAGAACGTACATAAATTATGCCCAGAAAACAGATATGTGATTCACTACTGCCATGATATTCTGCATTCTTTCTGCATGGACAGAAATAAAAGAATAATTACTAAACCATAAAATTAAGCTTTGGTGCATAGTTTAAAAAAATCATAGTTTTAGGCACTCAAGTTCTGAAAATTTACATTTTGGGTTAAAAAACTGTTAATGTTATAATAAATCACTGAAGCAGAATCTTTGTTTTCCAAAGAGAAACCTTCAGGAGGAAAAGAAACTGAAATAAGAAGATGGAAGGTAAATAAGCTTCTTATACGGAATTCAAGAGACATCTAGTGGTTAGTTGAACACAAAGTCTGAGAGCCCAGTAACAAGTACTTGCCAGAATTACACTGCCCTTCCTATCCTTTCATGAGTTTGAATGTAATGAAAGGTAATTTTGAGGTCACATGAACTTCGCTGTTCTAAGAAGGTGTTTTATCCACTTTCACTGAACTTAATATATAAATCTTTATAAAGATTTCTGTTTATACTTAGTGCATTATTCTCATAATCAAATGACTTTCCAACACTTTTCATCATACAAAGCATCAAGCCAGTGCAAAATAGACTCACAGAAATGAATACTCCCCAGAAATACCATGGTATTTGTATGCATAAAGTATATCAGTTACGGGCAGTTTAAACCATACATATCATGACCATTTGTAACAATTACGAAAATGAATGCATGCATGAAATGAAAGATCACTTTACCTTTGCATTTTCATACCGTTATTTCAGCAACATAACAGTAGAAAAATAGTATTAACAGGTAGACTTTTGAGAAAATAAGCCAAAATTCACTGTATTTCCACCCAGTCTCTCCAATTCAGCATTAGATACCACAGAACATGGTTCCACACTTTAGAAAATTATTCCTTTCTCCTTTAAAAATATTTTTTTAAAGGAACATAAATCTTCTAAGTCTTCTCTCAAATTATTAAGTCTACCTCTGACTTAAAAACATCAATTAATCTTAAATGTTGAGCTGTATTTTTAATTTCCAGTACTAATTTATATTACATGTATTTCCTTAAGCAGATCCCTCCAAAGACAACTTAAAAGTAACTAAAGTTAATATTGGAGAGGTTTTTATGGTCACAATTTTAAATCCAGCATCTATTCAAACAGACATTTCAGCAAGAAAAGTCTTCAATTATTTTTAACAAAGAACATTTTATGAACATACCCTAATGTTGGAAAACAATGAGTGAAAAGTAATGCACAGTGGCTCTGCAGCTACTGAACTATCCAAAAATGCAGATTTATATACAAAATGGCATGAAAGTTACGTGACCACAACATATCATTTAGTAAGAAGTTTGCTTACAAGGCAATGGGAAGTATCTATGAGATACTTGTTGCGGAAGGGACAGGGTGCTCCAGTATTTTGTCAGCCATGCACATATGGTTTTGTGTTCAGTCAAACCAAAAAATAGGTGTTTCTTCTCTTACTCTTGAAAGTGAGTAAGATTAGATCATTCCAGGTATTATAAGAAAAACTGGGAAGTACATGTTCCCCTTATAAATACATTCACATTCAAATTGCACATACATGTGGCCTTTAAATAAGATACAAACTTATACATTTTATCTGTAAGAAGGAATTTAATCAGAACTTAAAATTTGACCAAAGATTCCAAGTCTGAACTAAGTTTCCTTAGAAGCATCCCATACTCAGAGGCTAGTGCCTACATAGCTTATTATTTGCAGCCACCAACACTCCCAATAGTATTATGTTCTGTTACTTAATACCTAAATTAAAAAAGAATGCCTCTGCTCTCCAGAAAAAGGAAAAAATACAGCTAAAAATCAGAGTATTAGTCAACTTACTACCTAGCCAAGTTATTTTTCTGAGTATAAACAAAATCAGCAGAAAACTAAGTAAAAAAATGCACTTAAATACAATAGTCTTTATTCAAAACTACAAAGTTCATTTTAAACCAATAGCTTCGATGATTAACTCACATGAATCTCTGAAAATTTTCTCATGCTTTTAGAAATTAAGCAGGAATATTAGAAAATCTGTTCTTTCCTCCAAGTATATAATTAAAATGTTTCGAGTCATTTAGTCCAAAAATTCTGAAGAGCAGTCACATTCTAGGAAATACTGTTAAAACTTTCAGTTTGCAATAAAAGTAACATTTGTAAGGCTAGTTTATTTCTGCATTAATCCCTTTGGGTAACACACAACTTCAACTTGGCAAGTTTTCTACTCTGTTTGTTTCAGCTGTACTGTGTTGTTTGTTGTACTAAGGGAATAGGTAGTTTTATTAAAAATAAAGAATGAGAATGAAAGCTGAAATTATTTTTGAGAATGAAAGCCAAAATTATTTATCCGGCACTTATTTCTTACTTTCCAGTATTTTGGCACAAATCCAGATTATGTAATAGGGCTTAAAAGTAACAAAATTCTTCAGATACCTACTTGGTCCATGTAGCTGATACCTACCATTGCAGTTCTAGATTTGATAAACCAGTCAAATCTGAACTGAGGAGCATTGCGCACACACTGCCGTAGTTCTTCATACACGTTTTCTTTGTCAAAGCCCATCTTGTGTAACATGCATATCAGAAATCTGTCTTCTTCTTCTGTGTAATTTTTCCCTTTGTTTGTTCCATACTGAATACGCAACTGATGGAAAGGTGCTTTATACCGTGCAATCTGAATGCAAAGCAAAAATATTGATATTAAACACACAGTGCTACATCATGGATTTATTACGTATTCATGTGGAATACTGATACATAAAAATAGAATTTCCATCCCCAACTGTTCCCTTTCTGAAGGGATGTAAGAGATTACATCCACCTGTAACCACAGAGTTAGCAAGAAGCAGTCACCCTAAAAAAAAATTTAAAAATCCTGCAGTGATTACTTTGGCATCAAGGGCTTTCTTGATACTGATCCTCCGCTGAATTCTTGCCTCTCCTCGTTCAATTTGAGCCATAATCCTCTCAATGTCCTGTAGTTCATTGCAACGTTCCCAGAAAACAGCTAAAAACAAAATTTGTAAAATAAGATCTTTTCCTTTACTGTTTCACCTTTAGTCAACTAAAGCACTCAAGCAAGAAAATGTAATACAGTTTGTAGATCCACAAAACCTTAAAGATTCAGTAATACTTTCTCTTTTACTGTGCTAGCAAAGGAAGCTTGCACAGACCTTCATTCACTGTCTTTAAGTTAACTATAAGCAACAGCTAAGTAACAAGTATAGGACTGTTTATATCCAATATAAATTGCTGGAGTTAAGTAAAACTGGGAAAAATTACTTTTAAAGGTAGTTAGTTATAACTATGGTTTAATGCTGCTAACTTGTTTCAACATTCTTATTCATGTCAATTTTTACTCGCTATTTCTAAAGTCAACAGGAACTTAGTTCATGACTTATAAAAAAGATAGTAATGTGTGGCTTCTCCTGATTCTTTGGGTTGGTTAAAAGATGTAAATTCAGCACTTTATACAGAGCTCTTGATGAGCTGTTCTTTTTTTAAGCTAACACACAAAACATCACAAGGTTACATTTTATGAAGGATTTTAGGAAAATTAAACATAAGGATGAAACAGGAAGAATTCTGAACAAATTAAAAAGTGTTGTGCAAATACCAAAGACAAAGACACAGCGCACTAGCTAGAACAGTATATAAACCTATAAAGAATTATGTTGGCACTATAATGCAACTTCATGACTCTACAAGACCACCGTGTCAATGTAAATCAACTACAACGTGTTCTAAATTTCAGCTGAGGAAAAAGGATAGCTCAAGACATGTTTGTGCTGCAAACCTAACCTTTAACACAATTAAATCCGCAGGGGAGAACTACAATATTCTTCCTATACACATCCAAATTCTACATTTTGTAGAAGAACACGTAGCAAAAAACAATGGTTATTCGACACGACTAAGAAACGTATTTTGAAATAGATACAGACCTGAATACTCAATGACCTCCTCGGGTGACTTTCCTTCCACCTCACGGGCAATATTATCTATATCATCACGACCGTATTTCTCATTAGCTTTAATAAACTGATTAAAATCCCTTTTATTCCAGTTTGTAAAACCCTGTAAGCACCAAGAGATCAGGAAGCTATTACTAAGTAGAAAGGAAACATTTTGCAAAATTTTGTCTTATGTATCATTTGCTACAACTGCCAATGCCTCTGCAATGTCACATAATTAGAGTGGATAATGGTCTTTCAGCATTTCCGTAACTTCTATTATTCAGGGCTTATTACTGAGTCATTAGAAGTCTAAAGAGTTATTTTCTTGCATGACTCCACATGCATTAGTAAGAGCTTTTTACTTTGCCTCCTTTTTAAATCTTTTATGAATTATTTCTCCAAAGAAAGTCTCACTGACAGGTTACTGTAATTTTATTTAAGCAACAAAAAGTCTTTGGAATACAGGAAGCTCCAGGAGGAGTGTTGTTACAAGTTCTTCAAATATTTCAAGTATCTAAAGCAATAGCTGCTACTTAGTACACATACAAACCTTGAACCAACCAAACAGGTGGATGAAAGCTTAAATATATCAAGAAACAATCTCTAGTCCAAAAAGATGCAAACAAATGGAAACTCCATAGCACTGTCAAACAAGAAGTTTAGTGTGTGCTGAAGAAATTAATCCAGAACTGAACAACAGTTAAGTGAGATACAATGCATGGAAACATGACCCAAGAACATGGCACTACATTTTAAAGTTAGTGAAAGGAGAAAGCATCAAGAAAAAACAACAAAAGTCACATCTACAAGGAACTTTGCCAGTTCTCCAGATGAGTAAGATGACTTCTCAATTAGATTGCATCTTTACAAGTTCAACATACACAAATATTTATTTCTAGACATCAACAGACATGCATACCATCAAAAGCTGAAGTATGTCCTCTTCTATAAACAGGTGAGGTTAATAGTCAAATTGGGACCTTGCAGGGCTAGGAATACTAACCTGCTTCCTTAAGAAAATTTTCTGAATCTAGAAAATCTCAGTACATCAAGACACGCCTTTCTCTTGAACAATTAACTTTTAATGACCCTAGGGAGCAGGATAATAGTCCCAAGTAGTCAATAAACTAGCTAGTGACATGGAGACAGTCCCAGTAGAAAAGGAACATGCTGAACCAAACTGGGACAGAATTAATGGATGTGACATGCCACCTTATACAGCTGTGTAAAAAACATATGGTAATGGAAGCTTGCCTTCTCTGATTTCAGTCTTGTCTGATAAACTCAGTAGACAAATGCACATACAAGTAAGTCACTGACTAGATTTCTACATGCATTGCTGGGTAGTGGATTCACTGTACAAGTCTAGGCCTCGAAAACATTGCAGACATCCAAAGAACATGTTTTAGCTGACTAAGACAAACTTAGTCAAGGCCAGGAAAGGGGTCTCAACCAAAAAACAAGCACAAATCATTACATCTTGCATGCTTACATCTCTATAACATTGATATAGCTTTCCTGTGCATACATGCAAACATTAGTGCTACACATTTACATTCCATACTAGTAAAAATACACAGTGAAATACTTGACCTATTATTTTACCTGTGTTAGTAGCTTTTCTTTCTCTTCAGTTTCTTCAGGAGTCAGAGGCATAGAATCATCTATCTTCTTTTGTTCTTCTTTTTGTACCTGGGCTGCATTCGGGAGGTCAGGGTTCCTGGGTACCTAAGATCAGAGGTATCAGTAAGCAAAAGTGCTGCAATGTTAAAGACACTTTTCCATGGACCTTGCTTTACAATCTAGAAGTACATGTTAAATTTCACACAAATGACATAGCCCACACCTACTAAACATTTGTTGTCACAGAACAAAACAAAACAAAAAGCATCCCAACCCTGGGCTACTCTAAAGAAATGAAACCATAACAAAAACAAAACAAAAAAAAGAGTTACACAAATATTTTTATACAAAACTATTGCAAAATTTAAAAACATTATCCTTCAAGATAAGGTGATGGATTAAAGATTGTCATTAAGTCACTAATATAAGGTCAAAAATGGTTCACTTCACTTCACACACACTTCACTTCTCTGAAGGGGAAAAAAAAACATTACCTTATATCCTATAGTTTTACGGTAATATAGAATTTCTTTTTCCAGAAGTTCAAACAATCGTGGTGGAAAAAATTGGAAATCCTGAATATTTGGCTGTTTTGGAGGTCGTGGAGCCTTCAGAAATACATGGGTATATTAACATAATGTAAGTTTGACTTCCATGCATTTAAACTGCCATAAATCAGCAGTATTGACAGCATATCACTTTACAAGTACATTAATTCTATTACCAGAATAGGGTGAGAGCAGGGGATGCAACATGGGAGAGCAGAAGAGCAAAAACACAACATGAAGACCATTGTTGCCAACATCTTACCTTTGGGACTTTTGGTTCACTAACACGTAGGGCTTCTCTGAAATAAGCATCAACTGCATAATTAGCTTTGCGCTCTCGTTTTGGAGGCTCTATCCATTCCATCATGCTCAGCTACACACAGAATTGAAGAACAATGTATTAAACTAACTGTATTCTTTTCTCAAGTCACAAAATCATGTCTAGCGTGGCACTGGCAAACAAGTATTTTTTCACACTAAGTCTGGTGCTTGTGCTCAACAGTACAGATAATAAATCGGAGCTCAAAAATAAGCCAGAAGTTATAGTTAATTATAACATGTATTTAAGCACATAAAAAATAATACACCAGTAAAGGAAGGCTGTAGTCTTGCAGTGGCATGACTAGACACCTTTACAGTGATCTTTACAGTAATCTACTGACTTCAGTCACCTGAGTGAGATTGTTTCCATCTGCTCAAATACCATTGAAGGTCTATGGACTTGGGCTTTAAATTCTATAATCTATGATGATAAAATGATACAAATTTACTGTGATATTTATAAGCTCTGCAGAAGCTACAACATTGGTAAAAAAACATTAGACAGGAGTGAGTTCTCTTACAAAAGGACTTCAGTTAAACTTAAAGCATATTTCAAGGCAATGCTATATTAAAATCCTTACAAAAAGGCAGCTTATCAAGATGAACAGTTCTTATTTACATATATATACACACCCATTCTATTCTCACAAAATATTTTATTTTTCTAAGTGTTTCTTCAAAATTGCTAAGAAACCTGCATCAGAAGCGCATCGTGTAGTTAACATGTAAAGAGTTCATATAATTAATTCTAGATAAAACCTTAAGGAAATCTTATGTCCCATATCTAATGCAAAGAGACAGAAGTAACATCGTGGGACCATGATTAATACTTCTTCATTTTCTTCATTTGGATGTTCTTTCTACATTTAGCTAAATAACTGCAAAAAAACTTCGCATGGATGTTTACAACTAAAACCTTCACTGCAGAAAAAAATCCACACACAAAATTCTAAACAGGATTTTTTCTTTTGTTACATGGCAGTAAAACAATACCAGCTGCAGCAGTATAGCAGGATGCAGAGTAGTCTTTTTGCTGCAGAAAGGATAAAATTTGAGCGATTTTATCAGATTTTCCCATTAAGAAAAACAGGACGGGCCTGAAAGCTCGTTTAACACAAATTAATAATCCCAATGGTAGTACAGACCTAAGTGAATTCTTCAGGTCCCTCTTCACTACCATAACCTTTGCAGCTATAACATTGCTAGCATAGCCTGTATACTTACACCTCTAACATCTCCAATACTTCTCTTTAAAAAAATTACCTTCTGTTTTTCTCTATAATCTTCACCTTCAAAGTTGTATAAGCTCATCTCTGTGTCCATAGTGAAGTTTCTTAAAGAGCTTTCCCCCATTTTCTGCAATCGTTCATTCATTTCAGCTGTCTGAAATAAGAGACATTTTTAGGCTTACTCAAGCTGTTCTATGTTTTCTGCAAAAAAAAACAGCTTTCATCATTAAATGTATTTCATGTCGTTTTCTGCTTTAAAACTTTACTTACGTTTTTCTTATTAAGCAGGATTTGCCCACTGTGCTTTCCAATTTTGAACAAACTAAGGCTTCCCATTATACTGTTTATTAATGGTGTGATGTAGCCCTACAACTATATAACTTTTAGATTAAATGAAATTTGTGCCCAGCACTTCATTTTTTCCACAGCTACCAATTCCCTAATAAAATTCTATAAAGATTTCGTGCCTATTAGAATTGTTGGCATAAAATTTACATGTTTCTAAGAGTTCAAGAAATAAACAATGCTTAAGATACAACGCACTTAGTTTGAACTAGTGAAAGTAATTACAACTCACTACTCCTACTCCTTCTAGGCTTTCATAAGGTTTGAAATATTTATGAAGAGTAAAGTAATATGTGGGCATATAAAACAGATTTACATAATAATTAAAGTGTTCTTGTCTTCTTCTATAAAATGTATTTTGCATATCTATGTTTAATGTTTGACAAAGCACAAATTCTATACAAAACTGCTCTCTAACCTTCTTTTCACCTCTTTCTAAGATAGTGGTTATGTCTTCTTCTGTTAGCTCACTGTCCTTAGATGCAAAAACATGTGTAGCTCCATGCCGGATCATCTGCAGCATTTCATCTTTTGCCAGTTTGTTAGACTGTTGGTCTATGAGTCTTCCTGGAATTAGAAGAAGTATGTTGAAAGTTGTAATACAAAACTTCCAGTATGAACATGCAAACAGTGGATTTTTTGAGTCCACCAGCAGAACAAGCAAGCAAAAACCAACTATAGGAACAAACTACTCTTCACTCGAACTGAAAATAAACAAACTGGAACTTCAAGGTAAATACAAAAAATGACTGCGGTACAAGACATAACAAAGAATTTGTTTCACATGAAGATAATCCAATTTTATATTTAAGATTTTTTTTTTGCAAAGTCAGCTGGACTTAAGATTAAAATCCTATTTCAAGATGAAAAGTGACAAGATATCATAATCATTAGAAGTATTGAAGATTTTTTAACGCTCACTTTACTGATCTCAATGCATTTCTGAATACTTTCATTTTCCCCAGAACTCTAATTCCTGTCCAAAAATTCCACCAATCCTGTCTCATCTTCATAGACCATCACAATTTTGACAATTATCCATTAAGTAGACCACTCTCAGAGAAAAAAAAAAAAAAAAAAAAGTCATATGTCTCAGAACCTACAAAAACTTAGATAGATAGCTTCAGGTTTTGACAAACTATTCTTCCCAGAGCTTCTAAACACAGCCACACAAAGCAGTTTTAATGTTCAGAAAATTCAGATGTAGTAAAAAGCACTCCTATATAATTATCTTTCATGGAAGATAGCTTTTTTCTCCTCTTTTTAACTGTCACAAGAAAAAGTAATACCTACTTCAGCAGTACTTTCTTCATTTAGAGTCTTACTTTGAATCTAAGCCCACATCACTCAGGATAATAATTCTTTCAAAAATTAAGCTGAACAACTGAATAACTTATACATTATAATTTAAGATGCTTTAGCATACTATTATTATACACAAGGCCTGTTTTCTCTCATACTGTATGCTTGTACAGTTATTTAACCCATAATTTAAAGGGACTGAACAATTCTGTTGCAGAAAAACATTTAGAGCAGTTGATACCTTGTTGTATAACTATAGAGTCCAGTCTCAGTTTTATTTCAGCTCTTTCTACAATCCTCTCTTCAACAGTATTATCAGTGATTAGTCGGAACACCCGTACTGGTTTCTTTTGACCAATACGATGCGCACGATCCTAACAAACATAAATCAATGAGTGTTCAGCAGCAAATACTCACAAGCAATATGCAGTTTGCTATATAAGCAGAAACATCAGACTGAAGCTAGCATAAATTCCTTGGCTCCTTCCTTATTCAACAGTATACAAGAGTAATCTACTTATATGTGGCTATTACACCTTTTAAGTCTGGGTCGTTCAATTGCAATAAACACATCTACCTCATCATAAATGCAGAAAATGGAATGCCTGTCTGAACTGCTGCTGGTATGTGGAGATACAACTACATATGCAGACAGACCTGCATTGCATTCAGTTCATGTGACAAAAGTAGCGTCCCTTGACACCCCTAGCTTGATAGTACTAATTCCATGTGCAAAGTCATGTAGCTACAGCTTCAGTAACAGAGCTGTCCCACATGAGCTATGTTAAAGCATCAGTATGCAGCTCACATTTTACAGGTCTAGTGCACAGCAAATGAAGTTAGAACAAACACACTTTATTTGTTTCTATCAAAACTTGTGGCTCTCTTCTCCAGCGAGCTTATATGAAAATTTGTCCTCAGAAAAGAAAAAGAATAATCGTCCTTCAGACTGCTGGCACCAAAATTGAGTGTCCTCTAAAGAAGAGCTGTTAAATCTTTTACTCTTCTGCATCATATTCAGTAGCTTCCTGAAAAACTTAAAGCTCACAAATCAGTTCCTGGTCAGTTTCCAGGAATTTAATACTATTAATATTGGTAATCAGTCTGCATCTCAAACGAAGGCAAAGATATTCACAGTAAATTCTTGATTTGTTTCAGAACATTAGAAGACAGGACCAATAACCCCCAAACATGCAAGAAGGCTCATGAGATTTTTTAATTCCAGAATTATAAACCTTGATTTTAGAAATTAACTAGCAGTCAGAAAGAGAATATAAGGGTTTCTTTTCATAGTTTTGACTTTATTTGCTGGTACATTTATGCAGAAACAAGGTGGTTTGCAAAAGCATAAGCCTTCCAAGAGGGCTGAATGTAATGCTGCATGCTTTTAATTCTCTACTATTTTGGCAATAGCCGAAGTATTATTATTTCACTCCTTACTTTGTTGGTAATGAAGACAAAAAACAACAAAAATGCAGGTTCTGGAAATACTTACACAAAATTGAACAGTCATAACTAATTACCACCATGTATTAGAAAATTAACTCACCATGGCTTGCAGATCTACTTGAGGGTTCCAATCTGAGTCATAGAGAATCACCACATCAGCAGTTGCCAAATTAATTCCTAGACCTCCAGCTCTGGTACTCAGCATGAAAATGAATTTACTGCTGTTGGGAGCATTAAATGTGTCTATTGCTTCCTAAAAGAAAAGCATCATTAATACATCAGAGCTGTTTCCAATATGTTAATTACATCTCAGTCAAACTTCTTGGAAATTTAATTTTCAGAGCAAAAAATCTTTAACAGAGAATGTGGATATTTTCACTTGTGCAAACCTACTCCGAGTTAACAAAATATGCAATTGTTCACTTAGTTGAGGAACACATGAAATCTACTTTACTATGAACTTATGGTTAGAAAAAGTATACAAACTCAGCTGCCTTTTCAAATCATAACATTTTTTGTTTTTAACATATGATTTCTTTTAAGGAATGATAACATATTTTTAGGAATTATAATCATCTGTAAATAACAGCTTCTTAATTTAATACGTAAAACAGACATTTTTTATTTATACATCTGTCCTACCTCTCTTTCTTCATGTGGTGTCTGTCCATCAAGTCGGCAGTACTCATATCCACGCCACATACAATAGTCTTCCAAAATATCCAATAAACGAGTCATCTGGCTAAAAAGTAGAACTCTGGAACCTGACAGAACAACACAGAAGATTTTGTTGTTGATTTTATGTTTTTACATTACTCTCAATATAGAGCTTACTATTGAACATCAGTAAGAACTCACGTGCAATATTCTGTACTATGCTAACTTAAGTCTTTCTTTTGAAGTTACTTTTCTGGTATTGATTTAACTTCTTCTCAAGGCCCATTGTCTGATAATTTATACATAAGAAATATGCAGCTGAAGAAACAGAACATGTGAAAACATGGTAAGATAAGTAGCTGACGACTGGCGTACACAAACAAACTAATGCTCTCATCAGAAATGCTCTTCAATACAGCAGGTAGACCTTTCCCTTCCTTTCTACTGCATCGTATCGCTTCCTCACCATTCCCATAAGACCTCCTTTCCTCTGTGTGTTAGTATCTACTGAAAATAAAATTTCAACAAAAACCTCATTGAAAGTAATGAATGCTCTCACTGGAGGAGAGACAAGAACGAATCATGCAAGTTTTACAATGCAATTTTACTTATGATGACTATTCAGAGCATTGTTTATAAGCACTACTCACCTTGCTCTCTGAGTTTTGCTAGCAGTTTATCCAGAACTAACATTTTACCACTGTTAGTGATGAGATGCGTGTCAGTGGTGTAAGGAGGGCCAGGCTCGGCACCATCAAATAGGTAAGGATGATTACAGCACTTCCGCAACTGCATCAGAATATTCAGCAGACGCATCTTATCCATTTTCCCAGCTGAATTTAGGATATCAATATCTTTCATCAAGATCCTTGTATACCTGAAGTTTAACAGGCAGTTTTGAATAACCATTTTCTTTTCATATTTAAAACATAAATGAAACCCTGCAAATCCTGATTGCTCATTACTGAAAGTGGGAATTGGTTTTGTTCATACAATAAAATGGTTCATTATTTATAAAACTTGGAGAAAACTTCTGACTGATAAGGATTTATAAATCCATACTTAACATAAAAGGCAATTGTCATTGAGTGATAGTGATCTATCATGTACTATGTTTTCTTACCATTTTCTTTTATTTTTTTTTAGGATTATGAAGTCAAATAAGATATCGCTGACTCTACTGAAACCGCCACATTGACCTGAGATCTGCATAAAGAAATAGACTGAATTTAAAAAAAAAACATGCACACTTCTTTCCTCACTTTTATTCTCGGTATGTGGCTCCTGAGGCCACATTAATTTCAACTTTGAGACTTTTACTGGCACATATATATTTGGATCAAAAAATGAAACTTATTAGGCATACATTCTTTCAAATAAACTTGAGAGGAAAAGAAGATTCTGCTTTATTCCTCCCATCCCTTTTTATTACAGTTTTTGAGCTCTTTGCAACTCATGCACCCTTAAAATGCCCCAAAGACAGCTATAAATAGGCTTCTCCATTTGACAGTCTTAATATGCAACTGCAAAAAAAAATCAGTATGAAGAGCTGTACTGTTTTTCATCAGAAAAGAATCTTGCTTTAATGAGAATAACTCACCATTCCCTCTGCATTTTGCTGAGTCCAAGATAAATTTTTACTTCCTTCTTTGGAGGCAAACTCTTTTCCACTTCTGCTTTTATGCGACGTAATAAGAATGGCTTCAAAACCTACAAAAATTGAGTTTTTTCAAACATACATTTATTTAAAACTGATTGCCTCAAATAAAAGAATAGATTAACTTTTGTGACACTTATCCAAAACTAACCAATATCTATTGCTCTCATGGTGACTCCCTCAGAACAATTGTGCTGCAGTTTGAAAAATTAAGTTGTCCACTACTAAGCTGCCAAGTTCATACTTGAAGTGTGTAACGTTACATTAAAATTTTCATACTCATCCTACTTGCTGTACTGAGCAAGGACCAAACCCATGAGCTCATAAAATCTATTTCCCTCTACAGTCTGATTTATTACCACTAGAAGTGTATACCAAATACACCACTTCAAAGATAAGCAATATACACTGGACTTCCTTATGATTTATTTTATTACCCTATTATCTTGTGCACAGCAAAACAAAGATAAAGACGTGCCTTTTCAGGCTAGCCTGAAAGATGTATCAAGATAATATTCAGGATAATAAATAGTTTTCAAAAGGTCTCAAAATTCTCTTTGTATTTTATGTGCAGACTATCTGCTTCAAACAGTAACATTACAGAAAGTAGTGACTGAAAAAAATAAGTTCTGGTTATTTCATTCACAAAAATTCAGCTGGGCATTTCTATAAGTAAGTCAGTCCTCCATGTTCATCACTTCAACTTGGACTTAGATAAATATGTAAATACTCAGTTCTTCTTTGTTGCTGTGTATGCTAATGACAACACTTGATTAAGGCTTTAATTACTTACAGCATGAAGTCTTTCTACAAGCTTCTGATCACCAAGACAATTTTTAGTATCAAACCATGAGTCAAAATCCTGTGGGAAGAAACAGCACAAGTATGACCAGTTTATCGTTTGCCTTTTTAACAGACATACTGACTTTTTTCCTCCAAGAGCAACATAGATCTTGAGAAAAATGACTTCTGTGAGTGAAGGAAAATCAGGCCACAATTCTGTGACAGCTACCCAGCACATTGTAACATTTAAGTCAACCAAATAACTCCACTGACAAAATATTATTACTATTCTCCATTTCCCATGTTATCTACGTTCACCAGAGGGATATTCAAGCTCTTATCCTTATTGCTTGTTTAATGATGGGGCAAGAGTAAATGAGAAAACAAAACCTTAACAGGTAAATGTGATAGAAAACATGACAGCGAAAAAACACAGAAGTAATGCATGCATACAAGGGAGCATTAACAGTAAAAGAAGAGAAAGATGACTCAAATTCTAAATGAAAAAGGGCTTATGCCTATTTGGATGCTCCATATTCTTCCCTCTGCACTGCCTTCCCAAATTTTCCTTCACTTTGCATAACTCTAAAACTATGCAAAGTATTAGATTTGTTATCACTAGCACTGCACTAACACAACGTATTGTTTTAACTATATAGTGCAAAAAAACAGTCTATATTTTGGCAAGCCACAGAGCTTCAATTGAAGCCAGGTCTTTCACATCTTACTTCTCTTATTAGGCCGGTCATTTTCTCCTGCAGAAACCAGCCTAAGAATGAAAATAGCAAAATTTTACTTCCAAGCCTCTACTTACATCTGCAGAATTAAAGACATCAGGTAAAAGGAAGTTGAGCAATGCCCACAGCTCATGGAGGTTATTCTGTAAAGGTGTTCCAGTAAGCAGCAATCGGTTCGTTGTCTTGAACTCACGGACAATCTCTGACAGCTAGGAATACAACAAATAGTTATCATCACATATTTGAGTATAACCAATTTTCATCTGTTTCTGAAACCATATGAACTGAATTTATAGACAGTGAGCTACAAGAAAGTCATATCCACAGCCTAACAGCTTACTGCTTATATTTAATACATCACACTTAAAATTTGAAGTTTACTAAAATCAGATGGAATCTTGTGTCAAAATATCTTAAGGATCAAGTAACTTTAATTTTACCTTAGACTTCTCATTCTTTATTCTGTGGGCTTCATCAATTACCAGGTACCTCCAGTTAAATTTTTTGAAGACTGACTTCTCTTTAATTACCATTTCATATGATGTAACACAAACATCCCATTCACCAGGCATCATAACATCACGGATAAAAGCAGCCTACAGCAGAGCAATTGAATTAATAACATTTATAAATATATACAATGTATTTGAAATTCAGTAAAATCTACCTCTGCCAACATTAACAAAGTACTAAGTTAGCACACGAAGTCTGAAAAATCTTTTGCATAACCAAATGTTACTGTAACAAAAGCTTTCAATCCTTTGCACTTTAGGCACAGACACCAAAAAAAAACCCAACAAATTCTTCTATTTGAAGTTCAGTATTTACTCTCCAGTATTTTTTTCTGTAATTTAAACATAGGAAAAACTACCAATAATGAAAAAAACGTCTAGACTATCCAGCCCAAAGAAACACAATCCACAGCATGAAACAGCCCACCTAGCCCACTCCCTCCTCCTCTCTTTCCTAAAAATCTCTCTCCTCTGTCCCATTTATTGATAGGTATACGATATCCTTCATATGAAAAAGTTACAACACACTGCTCTCCAATAACTTTTTTAGCAGGATGCATATATGACCCTAACTAAAAGGACTGATGATGCAAAGTGTGTTGCCTTGAAGAACCACCTAATAAGGGAGTTCTCTACAGCACTCTGCACTGACTTGGTAATGCAACTATAAGCTCAGAGAGAGACTGTCTCTAATGTGGCTAAAGTAAAAAAAAAAAAAAAAAAAAAAAGTTTTGACAATACCAACATAAGATTCTGAAAGCATAGGAAGTATACAGTGAAGGTACATGCTTCCCTTCACCACTATCTTAATTTCATCCCATGGAACTAGCAACAAACACTACTGTGGTACAAGTATTATCGGATTCCAAATTAAAGCAACCTGGAAGAGAGTGTTCTTTTAAAATCTGACACTGCAGCACTGGAAGTAACTGTCTAAGTCATTAGCATGCCCAGCAGTTCCTCTCAGAAACAGGCATCCATGCAATCTGTATGAGGGTACCACAGAATTCACAGGAACCTCCAGGTCATTCCCCCCTTTAAGTAACAAACCACCCTATATCTAACTCAAAGCCTTCAGTTAAGAAAGATGAAAACTCTGTAATAGAATCCTAGTTAAAAGGCAAAGTATGGACATTACATGTAAGTACAGTCAACTAAAAAAAAAAGTGAGGAAAGAGGCTACTAGGTAAGGACAATAAAGGAAAACTAATAAATGCAGTAACAATGTAAATAGAGAAGAAATAAAAAATAGGTGCAAAAATCAAAGAGGAAGACAACAGAAGAGGTGAGTAACAGACAGCTGCACCTTGATTCCAATCTATTATTTCAATTTCACTTACTGATTGGCATTTTGTCCTCACAAGTCTAACGTTTTGCATTTTCAATGCTAATATAGTTAAAGATCACTGGAAAGAAAACCTGTAATTAAGGAACTGGCTTACTGAGAGTTCCACGTCCCCAAATGCTACTTTCTGACAAATAACATACACTTCATTTCAATGTACAACACTTACTCTGGCATCTTTGTCTCCAATAAGGCAAACAGCACGTAACGATGGTACCCAGCGTTTAAATTCATTCATCCAATTGTGCAAAGTTGATTTTGGAACCAGGACCATGTGTGGCCCAGGAATGTTTCGGTAATGCTTCAGATAGCCTAATAATGCTATTGTTTGCAGAGTCTTACCAAGACCCTACACGGACAAAGAGCAGGAAAAGAAACTTTCTAAAACAAAATGCCATACGGAAATAGTTTCAAACAATTTTCTTAGTATATCATTCTGCCACTAGAGCAGTTTATAGCAAAATACATGCAGCAAGAGTTTGCAATATCTTTGCAGTATCTTTCATTATATTACAGTTCCAGGTGTGAAAATCTACCTGTTATAAAATGATCCATACTACTGCATATACAGTCACTACTGTAGGTAGTTTAATGTTTGAATTTTGCTCAGAGTATCTACTACTACTGAATATTAATATCCATGTTATATACATATCTTGTTTAACTATTCAAAATTACTTTATTTTTTACCAAATAATTTAAAAAAATACTTTAAAGATGTATTAAGCTGAACTCCAGACGCAAAGAGAAGACATTATGATATTTATCAAAAGCATCAAAACCTTGGACATCAATCTTGCACACATTCATCCTTCTCAGCAGTGCTGGAGAAAGACATTTGCACACCTGTGTTACATTTGAGCATTAACCACATATGGCAATTATACGTTTCCATGTATTTGAAATATACACAGACTCTAAGTTACCATTGACACAACTGGGGCAGTAATTACTTGAATAACTCTACCTTTTCATCTACTTTTTACTATTAAGAGATTGACTTAATGCACAAATGCCATAATTTACATTCACTGTTAAGTAATTGGGCAACTGAAGGATATACAAATCAAAATAATTTAGGTTGAAGAAGACATCTCAGATCTAGTCCAACCTTTAACCTAGCATTGCGAAGTCCAATATTAAACCACGTCACTAAAATGAGTAAAATGAGTGTCAGAAAAGGATGGTTAAGTTCCACAAAAAAAAAAAAAAAAAAAAAAGATTGTTGCTTACCATTTCATCTGCCAGAATGCCATTAACACCATTTTCATACAGTGAGATCATCCAGTTCAAACCTCTAACCTGATAATCCCTTAGCGTTCCTCCTTTCACATCTGTAAATGTAAGATTCCTCTAAGTAGAAAAATACAAATTCTGAGTATAAAATTTTCATTGTGTTCTGCTCATCAGCTTGTAACTACATCAAAGCAATCAGCAAGCCATCAGTAGAATACTTACACGAAGGAGACTCCTCGAATCGAATGCACACATTAGATGTTTTCCGACTTTCTGACAACAGCTCTTCATCTTCTTCTTGTTCCGTGCGCCTGTGGCGATAGCTGAAGAACACAAATTGTGTGCACATGAAAATTTCAAACTTTTAAAACTAAATAAGAACTTATAAGAAAACCAAGTAATTTACCTACAATGTGCCTGTACGTTCTAGCACCCTGACTTTTGACTAAAATCACATCCTATTAATTCACTGTTCCTCCTGGCTCATTCCAGCTTTAATTGGAAAGGCTGATGTGAATCTCTCTCCTCCAGAGTCATAGCCATACTCTAACAAGTAACACGAGTTCTCTGAGGCACTATTTAATACGCAACGGAAATATAACACCCACATCAGAACTGGCCTTAGAACCAATTACCTGGTAAGTATACTATTCAGAAGATTCACACATTTGATCCCCACATTATTTTTTAACAATTGATAAGACAGAAAACATCATTTGGTTAACATTCCAGAAATTTGGTGTTAGCTATGACAAGACTCCTCATTAACACTACTTGCAGGGTGTGTCTGGATTAGCGACTAACGTAGAAGGACTTGTGCAGTGAGGCAATTCATGCTGAGGATCCAACATCCACATTACTTGCATGTTTTGTTATTTTAACTTGATTCCACTCTGGTTCAACTGCCATGTCCACTAGCAGCTGGAGCATATCAGGTGCATTCCTGGAGCACATCTTCTGGTTTAGTGTCATGCAAAATAAATTCAATTTATGCCATTCAAAACCACTCCACAATATAGACCAGAATATGGTAAACAGCAATAAACAAGGATTTTAATTTACAAGTGCCCTCTTGATCCGAGCTCATACTAACCTATATGAGCCAGTATACGTATATCAACCCATTTTTAATGAAATTGTGATACACCGTTAACAGGAAAAGTTCTGGACTCAAAGCACAATCTCTATGCTATTAAATAAATTTGTGTATTAAACTGCATAATTAGTTTGAAAGCATAGCAAGTCAGAAGTAAGAACAAGACATACTCCCCAGCTGAAATCAAACACTGCTTTTCATCTTTCTTTATCCGTGGCCGTCCCAGCTTGACTTTCAAAGGAGACGTTGGTGATTTTTGTGCCGCAGGCTGGATAAAATGTGCAAAGAGTTCTGTCTGCTTCAGGAGGAACTCAAATCTTTTTGCTCTATCTGCTTTCTGGTTTCCAAAGTGGGAAGAAATATAAAAAAAAAATATAAAATCAATGATTTCATTTAAAAATGTATTTTTATTAAGAAACAGAATTGAGACACTCATGAAGGCAACTTATATGAGCAAAGACCGGCAAGACCACCTGCTTACTTTTAGCCAACTCAAGAAGGCTACAGGCATCGTGAAATAGCTCTTGAACTGCTTCAGATTTCAGCTTAGCATGAATTGCTTTAGAGCATCCCGAGGTGACTTCTGGTAGTTCAAAAGACCCTTCATGAAAACCAGAGCAATCTGGAAGACAGTCAAGAGCTGATACCCTCCTCCTAGCAACTCATCCCCATTCAAAATCCAAAAATTAGTAAAAACAACTCATAAAGAGTTTACTCATGTATTCCTTAAGCCTGCAGGGCACATGAGTAACCCTGAGGGCATGTTTAAAGGATTCTGCACAGAAGGTATTTTAAAAGTACAGTTCTGACTTGCGGTAAAAGAAGAAATCCAAGCTTTGCTCATGTCAGTGGTTCCATCGGCTTCAAGGTTATCAGGACTACATCTGAGACAACATTGTGGTACCTCTGGATTTGGAAGTATGACTAAAGTAACAGGGATGGACAAGCTCAACACTGCTTGCACTGAAGTTCATGACTTTTGCTGTCAGATTTCAAAAGGATCTGGTTGATGCTTGCCTGAATGTGAACCAGCAGCGTGCCCAGGTGGCCAAGAAGGCCAACGGCATCCTGCCTTGTATCAGTAGTGCAGCCAGCAGGAGCAGGGAGGTGATCGTCCCTCTGTACTTTGCTCTGATGAGGCCACACCTCGAGTGCTAGGCTCAGCTTTGGGCTCCTCACTACAAGAAGGACATGGAGGCCCTGGAGTGTGTCCAGAGAAGGGCAATGAAGCTGGTGAAGGGCATGGAGCACAAGTCCTGTGAGGAACAGCTGAGGGGACTAGGGGTGTTTAGTCTGGAGAAGAGAAGGATCAGGGGACACCTCATTGCTCTCTACAACTCCCTGAAAGGAAGGTGTGGGAAGCTGGGGGTCAGCCTCTTCTCACAGGTAACTGTGATAGGACTAGAGGGAATGGCCTCAAGTTCCACAAGGGGAGGTTCAGGGTGAAAATTAGGAGACATTTCTCCTCAGAAAGAGCGACCAGGTGTTGGAACAGGTTGCACAGGGAGTTGGTGGCATCGCTATCCCTGAGGGTGTTCAAGCAAAGGTTAGGGATGTGGTTTAGTGGGTAACGTTAGTAGTATGGGGACAGCTGGACCAGGTGATTTTGAAGGCTTCTTCCAGCCTTAATGATTCTTTATTACTTATTACATTTGTGACAAGGCATATGCACACATCTATATCACCATACCAAAACACATCATCCTCTCTATACAAAAACCTTGATTTTCAAAGAAAAATAGGGTAAAAGGCAACTGCTACCAGATGAACATAATTGCTATCAGTCTTTGTGCCATTTCTAAGCATCATGTAACACTCTACCATTTAAAGCAATTTTCATGTGATCTCATTTATCTATCTTGCCATAAACTATGGAAGTGAAACTAGTTTTGTACCATAACCTTTTTGGAGAAGTGTGAGCAAAGCTTTTCTGTGTGTAACTTACAGCTGTTAGAGCACTTACACTTGTAACACCAGAGATAAAGGCATTAAAAATGAACATGCAACGCAACATCTTGCCACATGAGGGCACTCTATTTCCGATGCATTTATTTTAAAAAGCAGGTGACTTGTGACCAAATAAATGTTATCCAGTTCATTCTCAACAAACGAGTTTACTTGTGTCTTCTGTCTAGACAAAAGAAGTATTAGATCAGGTAGGTAGTAATCTGTGATAATCACTCTTCCCTGGACCCCAGAAATTCTGCTGGAATTACTAGGCATCCATTTAATGCTAGATCTTTTAAAATAGATGCAGCAGGACACCAATTCCCAGCTTTATTCGAGAACTTCATATGTGTCACTCAAGAACAAAACTTGCAGTGTCCACCTGGTTTCTTCCTCTATGCAATACAGAAGAGGTCTTCTCTCTTCTCCAGCACTGTAAGCTCCCTAAATTTTGGTCATGGATAGATCCTCTTTTGCATTGTTATGAATCATATATCACAAGGAATCTCAATATTTAAACCCTTTTTATTTTTATATGACAAGAAACTGGCAGCTTCAGTACTTCTTTCATTTAAAGAGAACCTTAAGGAAGCCTCTGACATGACTTGCGAGGTCAAAGAACTATCAGATATTCAAAACCGAAACAGTGGTGTCAAGTGTAAAATGCAGTTGACTAGAAACTCCTTACCACAGGAGGGTCTCAATATTAAATCTACCGAAGAAAAAAAAAAAACAAAGTGATCAAATCCATGGTGGGAAAAAAAGAAAAAAAACACACACAACACACTGGCACCTACTGAGTACAAAAAACACAGCCTCCAACTCCAGAAATCAACACAGACAGAAATACTTGTGAGAACTATCACAGAGATAAAGACAGGGAGATCACTTGCCAATTACCATCACATTGAAAATAAACTCAGCATAAGGACGAATAATACAGTTTGACATTTGATAACAGACTAGAGCAGTGAAAACAAAAAGCAGCCTAAAAACATCTTCCCACCACACACACTCTTCTAATTCCACTCCCAGGCAGTGCAGAGAAAGGAGGGTTGTAGTCAGACCCCGACATTTCTCTCCACTTCTCCAAGTGGGGTCCTTCCCAAAGGATGCCATCCTTCAGAAACTGATCCCATGTGGGCTGCCCACCAGCAGCAGCTCTTCAGGAACAGCTCCATACGGGGCTGTACCACGGGGCCCCCCGCTGCAGCATAGAGACCTGCTCTGCCATAGGACCCATGGGCTGCAAAGGGACAGCCTGCTCCACCAGGGGCTGCAGGTGAACCTCTGCTCCAACACCTGGAGCACCTCCTGCCCTCTCCTTTGGCATCTGCAGGGCTGGTTCTCTCACACTTTCTCACCTCTCTTTCCCAGGTGCTGTTGTACAGCTGTTTCCTCCCCCTTCAACCTGTTCTCAGAGGCACCACCAGCACCACCCATGGTCTCAGCTCTGGTCAGCAGCAGGTGCTTTTCGAAGCCAGCTCTTCTCTGAGAGAGGGCAGCTTCTGGACTCCTTCCAAAGGCCATCACTGCAACACCCCTGCTACCAAAGCCTTACCCCATACACCCAACACATCCATTTGTTTTCCTTTTCTGACACACCCTGCCTGCAGTAATTTTTTGTTACTTCCAATTTTATTGACCTAATTCAAGCAAACAAGTGTCAAAAAAGCTGCAGTATGCTTTGTTGTGAGAACACTTACCATCTTCTCTTCATATTCTGGATCAATTTCTTTTTCAGGCCTAGCCGCCTTTGGAGGAGGCTTGAGTTGAAATGGAGGATCATTTTTCTGAAATTCAAATTGTAAACACTATTAAATATCAGTGTTATTTTTATTTATTTATTTTAAGAACGCATAAATATCAGATTTTTAAAAAGGTGATGATTTCAACAGGGAGTGACTGCACTAGTCACATTACTTCACCCAAAAGAGAACCAGTTATCTATGATGTAACTGAAGAATGACCAGATAAAATGTAAATAGAAGGTGAGTCTCATTCTCATGTTTATTTCTGGAAATAGGATCCAAGGTGGAAGAACTGAAGGAAAGCACTAAAAAAGAGCCAAGCTTAGTTTTTCATGGAGAGGTTATTCTCAGCCGAAAAACTCAAAGCATGTTTCTACAAATTCAATTACTACTTGCTTTACAAAAAAAAAAAGACACCTAGCAGAAGTCATAATGCTGGCACAGTATCATTTCTAAAAAAAGTATCATAGGAAAAAATGTTTTGTGCAGTTGCTTTCCCTACCACCACCCAATTCAGCCTTGAAGTATGCCTTTCTACACATCTTCAAGTAAAAATTATTAAATACTTCCATTGTTGAGAGGTACTAAAAGATGCAAGCAAAGTGTTTTTGAAACATACTTAACAATCTGAAAGGAACAGGCCAAGTGCACGCCTGCATAAAAGCAGAGTCAGAGGTCGGCAGGCACCTTAAGCATCAGCCCACTATAAACACAACAAAATGAAATAAACTATACAGGGTCAGGTAGCAAGAACAGACCAAAACAGTACTAAATACATAACAGCTTGTAAAGCAGCATTCTACTTCAACTCCAGAACCGTTACTGATAAATATATATGCCAACTTACTCTTTAAGACAAGGCAGAAGGATACAAATAGGAGGGATGTTTTCTAAAGCTCTAAAATACCTTTTAAGTTTTGGCCTGAAGACCTAAGTCTCAGCAAAGATGAACAGCAGTAAGTGCATAACAAAGCTGTTTGATGGTTTAATGATTTTCTAAAAGCCCCAGTTCAATTTTACAAGGTCAAATGATTGTGTCAAAAGCAGGCAGCAACTAAGATTTCCTACAGTAAGTCACTCACAACTTTTTCAAGCATACAGGTAACTAAATGCCAACAGCCATGCCTCTGGGACAAAGCCAAACAGTTCGGTGGCTACAAATCCCTTCTGGCTGCAACAAGTTGCTCAAGTAAGATGTAACTTATCTCATTAAGTCCTAGGGCAGATGGCTCCAACAGGGGTTCTGCTGTTACATTTCCCCAGAAGGAAACTTCATGGTGGCACACCAAACAAATTTGATTTGTATATTTGTGAACAACACATTTCCTGAGTTAAACAAGTAAACAAACTGACATTAAAAGTTACTGCAGCTACAGTGTTTCAGGTCCTACACCTTGACTCTCAGTATAAAACGCATCTGTATCTGTGTCCCTGCTCCCCTCACTGCACTGAGCTGTGGAACACTGATGGCCCCAAAACATCAGGAGAAAAAAAAAAAAAAAACACGAATAGGAGACTACCAAAAACTGATGAAAAGAATGTAAGACACATGCATCCTTTCTCTTCCTGAGAGTTTACAAGGGAAAAGCATGTTGTACTTTAATTAAAACACTATTTTTTACTCCATGCTGGTGGAGCTGAACACATAGTAGGAACAAGCATTATCTGTGAACTTGCTTCTGGGTAATATTCTGAGTTATTAAAACCTAGACCTTGCCAATTCTTAAATTCTGGTATGAACAACACCACCTCTTTTACTACCAACAATATCATGTACCTAACATAACCCAGAATCACAGAATATTTTATCAAGTTCATGGGAGTTTTACCCTAAAAACTACAGAACGCATCTTCGTTGCTTAAAGGGCTGATTTAACAGGAAATAGGAAGACCAGCAGAATCCTCGCTGCAAACAATTAAAGCAGTAAAAGGGGACTTTTGCTTTTAACTTATTTTGTTCATGGAGCTGGCTAGTAACAGCCTGCTTTGACTGCAGAGAAGTAGAAATAAGAGGCCCCCTGAGAAGTGGTGCAATTTAAATCCTCACAACAGACAGGACCGTGCAACAGCTTCCAAAGTATCAGGCCTCGGCTGCTTCAAGGGTCCAAAATACTTCACCTGGAAACCTCTGCCAACCAGCCCAAGCGGAGCTCCCGGCTCCCAGCAGGGATGTAACACAGTGAAAGGGGCGAGGAGCTCCAGAGGCTGCACATCAGCACCGTCACCGTGCCGGTTCCTAACCCTGTAGCACCCAGCGGCTGTGGCAGAATTCCACGGCCTCAGTAAGGACCCCGAGCACTCACCAATACTTTCCCTTAAGAAACACGATGATCAGCATGGCACAGTAGCACAGCATTGGTAATATTCTGAACCATTAACTGCTTCCAAGTGATTTATGGAGAGCCTCTAAACATTTAACACTCATTCTGTATCAGTTAAGATAAGATCTTGCAGAATAAGCTGGCATAGAAACCCTTAAACTTTTCCCTCCCATTAACATTGCTACAGCATATTTCACAGCCCTTCTTGCACCAGGGTAAGGGAATATAAGGGAGTACAGCATTTGGCACCCCTGGGGCAGGCGGTGCCTCCCCCCAGCTGCAATCCGGGCCCCGAGCCCGCCCTGCCGGCGGCTCCGCAGCCCCCAGCCCCCGGCCCCAGCCGCGCTTCCATGGACACCCGACCGCGACCCCCGGCACCTCACCGGGGGCCCCGCCGCGACCCTTCGCCAAAAAAATAAACACAAAACGGGACCGGGAGGAGGCCGGCGGCCGCCCTCGCCCTGCCGAGGGGCTCAGCCCGCGGAGCGGCGCCGAGGGGAGCGGCCCTACCGCCGCCCGGGGCTGCCCCCGACCCCGCAGCGGTACCTCCTCGGAGCCGGGCTCCTGCGCGCCGGAGGTGGAGGTGGAGGGCACCTCGCCGTCCGAGCGGGCGGCCGCAGGAGCTCCAGGGCTGCCGGGGCCGGGGTCCATTTTGTCGCGGCCCCTCCGCCCCCAAAACGCGGCGGCTCCGCCCCGCGCAGGCCTCGCGAGGCTTCCGTGAGAGGGGCCGGGGCCGCCGGGGGGTCCCCGGGGCTCGGTGGGGGGCCCCGGGCTGGGCACGGCGGGTCCTGGCTGCGGGGCTCGGGGCTCCTGCCCGAGGCTCTGCCTCAGTGCTGGGGCCCTGTGGGGGCGGCAGGGGTGCGATAAGGGGTGGCCCAGGCCGTGCCCCAGGAGGAGAGCCGCCTCTTCGTGTCTTCAGGGCTAATGCACGTCCCAAAGTGCGGGCCCTGTGGCAGGTGTGGGTTGGGAGAATAAAGATGTGTGTTTCCTGGGGGCCTGCCTCGCTCAGCACTGTGTGCGTCTGCTGCTGGAAGTGGCACTAACAGAGCAGCTCCGGGCGGCTCCTCACGCAGTGTGTCTGTCTAGATTGCCGGCTGCTGAACCCCAAGGAAACCCAAAACAGCCCTTGGGATGTCACGCAGAAAAAAAAAAAAAAAAAAAAAAAAAAAAAAAAAAAAAAAAGCTTCAAATGGGGTGTTTTACCCAATGACTACTCACAAAGGCAATACTGCAAGCTTTTTGTCCACAGAAAGATCAAACCCCAGCCCTGTAGGCAGAGTGAGGCGTAATTGTTTTCTCCTTCTAGTAACAAACCCAGCAGCTCATCAAGATCTTCCTGCATAAATCAACAACTGAGCTGAACAAACGGGCTGTGTGGCTCATGCCCTGTGTTTAGACAGACCTCAGCAGTGTCTCTTCTATATATACCTTGATTCCAATCAAAGGTACAATTTGTGAAGCATTGCTCTGAAGTTCTGAACTGATCCCACGACTGCCTGATTATTCTGAAATGGAGCATCTCACCTAAGAGATGGTCCTGCATACAAAATTTAAGCCCCAAACTCTCATTCTCCCTGTTGTGAGACATAGAATCATAGAATATCCCGAGTTGGAAGGGACCCATAAGGATCATCAAGCCCAACTCCAGGCACTGCACAGGTCTACCCAAAAGTTTAGGCCATGTGATGAAATGCACAGTCCAATCGCTTCTTAAATTCAGACAGGCTTGGTGCAGTGACTGCTTCCCTGGGCAGCCTGTTCCACTGTGCGACCACCCTCTCAGTGAAGAACCTCTTCCTGATGTCCAGCCTAAACTTCCCCTGCCTCAGCTTAACACCATTCCCGCGGGTCCTATCACTGGTGTTTACAGAGAATAGGTCACCTGCCTCTCCACTACCCCTCGTGAGGAAGTTGTAGACTGCGATGAGGTCCCCCCTCAGCCTCCTCTTCTCCAGGCTGAACAGGCCCAGTGCCCTCAGCCACTCCTCGTACATCTTCCCCTCTAGACCCTTCACCATGTTTGTCGCCCTCCTCTGGACACTCTCCAACAGTTTCATGTCCTTCTTGAACTGCACACAGCACTGTAGGCGAGGCCGGACCAGCGCAGAGCAGAGCAGGACAATCACCTCCCTCGACCGACTAGCAATGCCGTGCTTGGTGCACCCCAGGACACGGTTGGCCCTCCTGGCTGCCAGGGCACACTGCTGGCTCATATTCAACTTGCTGTCAACCACAATCCCCAGATCCCTCTCTGTAGGGCTGCTCTCCAGCGTCTCATTGCCCAGTCTGTACATATAGCCAGGATTGCCCCATCCCAGGTGCAGGACCCGGCACTTGCCTTTGTTAAACTTCATGCGGTTGGTGATCGCCCAGCTCTCCAATCTGTCTAGATCTCTCTGCAAGGCCTTTCCACCCTCATCCGAGTCCACAGCTCCTCCAAGTTTAGTGTCGTTGGCAAATTTGCTCAGAACACCTTCTAGTCCTACATCCAAATCATTTATAGAGACATTGAAGAGGACTGGCCCTAAAATGGAGCCTTGAGGGACCCCACTAGTGACCATCCACCAGCCAGATGTGGCCTCATTTGCCACAACCCTTTGAGCCCTGCCCATCAGCCAATTTCTCTCCCATCATATGATGTTTTTGTTTAGTTGTATGCCACAAAACAATGCTCTTCCAAATTACTTAGCACCCTATAGCCATCTGCCCCTGTTGCATAGTTTGCAACAGGACAAGGCCCACAGCACCTGCAGTTGCCCTTCCATCTGATTAGTTTATAAAGGCTTGGGGAAGTGCATTTTTCTTAGCACAATTGAGACAAGTGACATGACTGGTTTTTAGAGAGTAACCCAAATAGCTTTTCCAAGCAGGGCTCTCTAGAAAATGAAGCTTAACATCAGCTATGCAAAAGGTCTTTAAGGTGGGAAAATTCCAGTCGCTGATGCATTTGTTCTTAGACTTTGCAGAAAATAGCCTACTAACTGTTTTTTAATATCTGGTTTTCCTACTGCAGTTTCAAATGCTTGTAGCTTCTGTTTATACAAAACACTCTTAAGTGTTTCTCACAGCTTGCTTTTTACTTGCAATTCACAGGAATATTACATGCTGTACAAAACAGTCAAGCTGCTGCTTTCATGAAAGATCCCCTTTGGATGTTTTTTTGCTTGCATGCTTGACATTTGCATTTGGCACTTTGCGTAGATGTGCCTGGTTACTTCTCATAGGTTACGTTGTGTACTCCTGAGGGTCCAGAGGCCATTGTTTGAAAAATCACTTAGTCATACAACAGTATTTTCAAGTGATAATCTCATTAATTATTTAAAATGTACACAAGTGCTTTTTGTATTTATATATTCTTTCTTCTTAGACTTACATGATATCTTTTCTAACATAATTTGCAAAATTTCACAGAATTTCTCCTTTTTTTGTTTGTTTTTTTTTTTTCTTTCTTTCTGTGGTTGGGAGGCTGGGAGTTAGTAGTTGTGTAAAGCTGTAGATGTGGCTATTAGTTCTTTGCTTTTCCAGCTTTATCCCCCCTTATTTTACAGTCTGCAAACACAAATAGAAAGGCTGAATGCACAGTCCCCTCCACACAGAGGTTTCTCAGCAATGAAGAAGGCCTCCTCTGTCCAACCCAGAAAGATAGCACTCAACATATTGTATGACAAGAACTATGTTTTCTTGTCAGAAACAGGAAGAGCGATTGCGTATCCTTAGGCTCACTATTGTCCATTTTTACATTTTGGACCCTGCTGAAATATAGAAAGAGTTGATGACGTGCAGATCCGGAGGCATTTTAAGTCCTATCCAGATAAGACTGCAAGACTTCTGAGATCTTGTACTGTGGCAACTCAGCCTCTCTCAAACAGGGACTATTTGTCTTACTGTGCTGAATAAGAGACTAACCGTGATGGTCTTTGTTTTTCTAACACAGATACATTGGTTTGGGGTAACTTTTAAAAATCAAACCATGCAAGGAAATATGTGTGTGCACAGCATAAGCAGTTATCTGCTACCAGTAGTGAAATCTTGTTTCTCTTAATAATAGCAGCTTAAATAATAAAAACTGCTGGAAATATTGGTTGTGATTCCTGTCTTCTCTGATGTGAAGCTCTGTAAGGGACAATTGCACTTAGAGCAAGCGGCAGCACCCTGCCCAATGTCACTAGGTGGCAATGATGCTGCGTGGGCTCGAGTGGTGGCTGCAGAGCACTGGCGCCAGGTGACAGGGCGGCCTGTGCAGCATTTCGTGGGAAGCTGCCCAGTCTTAAAGCTGGCCTGATCAAGAAAAGGAACAGGATTATGCAAGTCCGATTTGCAATGCATCCTGCACCTGCTGCTGTTTAGTCATTCCCAGCACTGCGTTGCGCCAATGCAGCAGTACTGGGCAAACCCAGCACCGCAGGTTGTTGTTAGAAAGGGCTGGGGGCCCTCTCCTCAGATTTAGGGTCTCTTGGCTCCCATGTGCACCATAAAGAGATGCTCCATGGAGCACCGTAGCCTAAAATCCTCATCAACAACACTAATCATTTCTAGCTCGAATGCACGAGCTATGAGTTCAGACCACAAATGCTGTGCGAGGCCTGTCTGCAACAGCTGATTTGCAAATACATCATTCAGCACTGAAAACTAGGATAAAATAGCTAACACATCCTCTGTATCTGGTTCAAAGGACTGATGGCAGCTGTACAAATACCCATTGCTTTTTCCCACCTTGTACGCAATATTGAATTTTTAGTTCCAGGTTTTAGCAAGCAAAGCTTTGCTGTGATATCACAAAGGCTTCAAACATGCCTGAACTTCCCAACCACACAGATTTTTGCTAAACCCTTTTATCACTTGATATCCACTTTTGGGGGGATTTTTATCCATTTGTAAAGGGAGAAGACTGTTATCTCCTCCTGGCCATGACAAGCAATGTTTGTGCGGTCACATTAGAATGTATAAAAAATTTACCAAGCCTCATCAGCAACTTCTTGCAGATACCTTAATTGACTATAAGCATTCCTTTAGCCCTTTGCACTCAGAAATGCAGTATGGTGGCTCCTTCCCCTGTGCTGTGCCCCCCTCTGCGCTCCCCAGCCCTGGCACTGCTGCTGGTGTTCCTGCCGCCAAGCAGTGGGGCTGTACAAGGTTTAAAAATCCAGCCCAACAGGGAGAAATACTGGTTTTCTGTCAGCTCAGCTTAGCAAATCTCTCCAGCTGCCCACTGTCACGAGGTAGAATGTGTCCACTTAAGCTGCCATAAACCAGGCTGTAGTAAGCAACAGTACCACTATGTCTTCTGCCCTGTGAAAGACACTTTAAAAGTGGTTTTTAGATCAAAGCAAAAGCTGTCAAAAAAAAAAAAAAAAATTCCAGCTGAAATAAATCTGAGTAGTACTTTGCAGTTCAGTGCAATTGCATCCCTTTCTCTCCTAACCTATGCAGTGGTTTTACAGTATTGAAAACCTATAAATAACCTGCCCAGAGCAGAGACAGATGGTATCTTACAACATTTTGAATATTTGTGAGTATCCAGAAAGCAGTTCAGTGCAATATAGGCTTGAACTCTCTTTAAAGCTACTTGAAATTGTTTCTTCGCAGACTCAATGCCCCAAATAAATTATCTTAATTATCTTCAGTGAAAGCTTGTTCCTGGGGTTTGCTTT